CAGCTCGTAATATATAATGTGGAACGTGTTGTATGATGTAATTTTGGAACATTTAACCTTGAATTCCTGTGATAAGCTCTACTGAGTCATGATGTGAGATTATCCTTTTCATAGGTTAGATTTGCTATAATTGTAATTTTTGGAAAAATGTCAAAGGCTGGTCCCTACAATGCGGGGAGCAACAACCCCTCTTTTGTTTTCTGACAGTTATGTAAGATCAGTGTCTTCTTTATTGAAATTAATCATTAAACTATCTGGGCCTACACTTTTTGGAAATGTGTCTTTGACTAGAAATTCTGCCATTTTAGTGTGAATGCTGATTTCTCCCCTTGGGGGAAAAAACTGGGCTATCACTTACTCTTCCCACCCCAGGGTTATGCTGGACAGATGGGATAGTAGGTGTGAATGTGCTTTGGAAATGGAATGACTGTTCAGGCGCTTGGCATTGCTGCTGCTGTGTATGCATGTGTGTGTACATGCATGTGTGTGTGTGTGTGTGTGTATGCACGCTCGCATGCTCATGTACCACAGACACGTGGTCTGTGTGGTGTCCGTCCAGCCACCCCATGGCAGCGGCATCAGCCCTGACCTTCTTCCTCAGGCACTTTCTGGACCTCACTACTACACCTGGGGGGATCATGGCGGCATCATCATGGCCATCGCCCAGGGCATGGAGACCAACGAGCTCAAGTAAGTGTCTCTGATGAAGCATAGCAAAAATGGCAAGAGTTTGGCACCTCCCTGGTGGCCTAGGGGTTAAGTCTCAGCGCTGTCACCACTGTGGCCTGAGTTTGATCTCCCAGCCAGTGAGCTGCCCACATGGCAGGGCAGACCTCTCCTGTCTCACCTGCTGCTCTCTTCAGCATGTGTTTCAGTCAGTCCGCTGTTCCGCTCCCCACTTTGTCTCCGGTGAACCCTCTTACCACCTTGCACCTTTGACCTGTACCCCAGTTCTTCTATATCCCCCTCCCCCAAATTGTCAAGAGTTTGTCATTTTTGTCTCCTTTAGTTCTGATTTCATCAGAACCAGCCCTTGGATTCCTTTTGTCCAAGTTATCAGACAGTTAATGTTAGGTCAAGAAGGATTGGTCCTTTCGTCTCCTTGTTTGAACTGAACCCACGAATTGGATTCCTGGAGGAGATGGGCCAGGAGTCTGTGATCATTGTGTCGAGTGCAGAGAAGAAAGCCTTCTTTACCTCTGTGCCTCTTGGAAACAGGGCCAGCAGCAAGAGAGGTGGGTGGTTCGAAGAGATCTGAGCAGCGGGGCTCCCCTGTGGTTAGCTGATTCTCAGAAGCAGCAGAGAGCAGGGAAGTACTGATATTTGGCCTTCCGCCTGGCTGTTTTCTGGTCTGCGTGGCAGGACCCGCTGCTGTTCCACATACAAAAGCCAGAAGAGGCCTGTGCGTAAGTGGAACTTACAGAGTATCCCCATTCATATTGGTGTTTGCTCTGATGACAGAGAACACAGTGCTTCCCGCATTTATGCCATTATTTGTTATCTTTACTGTATTACCAATTATATGTGACAAGTTATATTTTGTTACATATCAATTATAATTTATATTTACATATTTTGAAATATAATTTTACAAACATGACTTATATAGTATAGATATTTGTTATAAGTAATGTATTAATTCCCCTCTGGTCAGGCCAGATATTGTGTATCTATTGGTTGTTCTCGCCAATCCTAAAGAGCCCACAGGCAAATAAGTGATCATGTGTTTGGGCCACAGCTAGAAACACAGCAGGCCACATAGCTTGGCTTTTAGGAATACACGTCACTCTTTGTGTGGCAGTCACGGTGTGTAGTCAGTTCTGGATTTTCCTGGTTGATGCTCTACAGATTACATTTGCATTCCAGGCTGGGTTCCGGAAGCAGTTAGCAGGATTCTAGTCCTCTCACACCATCTGTCGGCACATATGTGCCCGGGGATGCAGCATCACTGTGCACTAGCTGGAGCAAAACACCATCAGGGAAACAGGCTAGTTGCCCAAAGCCTTAGAGCCCTCCCAGGCCTTTAGGCTGGCGCTGGGGTGGTCGGCTTTGGGGTATGACCCTAGAGCATGCCCCTCTGCGAAGGTCACCTGCAGGTGTCCAGGCGTGTATTTCCATAAAGCCCTTTGCAATATGACCCTCGTAGGGACATCCTTCTACTTCCTGTGCCTCAAATATCAGTAGGTGGGCAAAATCTGTGTAACCACCTGGCATTTACTCAGTAGGTTGCTCATACGATTTTTATGTTTGTTTCTCTTGCTTTTCTGTCCTTGACCTGTGTTATCAGCTTCATCAGAAGAGAAGCAGGAAATGATACGGTAGTTAGTTCATATCCTCAAGCCACAGTGACCATTTGCCATGATGTCTGTGTGTGAGTGGCGGCTGCTTCTCATTGACCCAGATTCCTACTGCTGGTTCTGGGCTTCAGCCTCCTCCAAAGTCTGCCTGTCCCAATCACGGTGCTTGCTGTTTCGTGTCTCAGCATTTATTGACTGTCTCATTAGTTTGGCATTGATCATTTACGGACTCCTTTTGTTAGTTACCTTTTCATTATATGCCTGAATTCTTCAACTCGTTAGCGAGGTCTTTGCAGACGAGAATTTCTGTTCTATACAGACTAGGCAGGCACTTTGTAAAAGTTTGATTATTCAATAAGTAGGTCATGCACACCTAGTCTCCTAAGATTGCTTTTTTTTTTTTTTTTAACTGATTTATAAAACTGGAAGAGGAGGGGCCCTCCCTGGTGGCGCAGCAGGTTAAAGCATTGCACTAAGAAGCTAAAACCACTTCCGCATGAGTTCGAGTCCCGCCTGCCCTGGAGGTGACCACATGGCATGGCAGACCTCTCCTGACCCGCCCGTTGCTCCCCTCAGCTCTCCACTCTGTCTCTGGTGAAGTCTTTTGCCACCCCTGAGTCTCTGGCCTGTACCCCAGTTCTGTATGCACAAATAAATAAATCTTAAAAAAAAACAAAACAAAAAAACTGGAAGAGGAGGAATAGGGTGATGCTTTACAGCTCCAGGGACATTCCTCCCTTGAACTGCTTAAGTAAATGACAGTCCCTGGAGCTAGTCTCTGGAGCTCTCATGTGAGGAAGGGCCTCTGGGTGATGACATCTGGTGGTCCCTTGAGGTATCAGAGATGTCTGACCCACCTTACAAGGCAACCACATGACTCATAGTAGGGAGGGCCCAAGCTGGAAATGGAGCTGATTTCTGGTGGACATCATTTCAGCTCAGTATAGGAACGCACATATAGAACCTCTGTAATGAACTAGTTGTTGTTCTAGTGTGGAGGACGACTCGGTGGGTGAGGAGTGACTGTGGTGTCCACTGTCACTCTTTTCTAGTTCTGAGTTTCGGAGCCAGCTGGAGAGACAGACGCCAAGGGAAAGGCTTGTTTTGACAGACTTCTGACCTCATGTTGGTCCAGGCTGAGGCAGGAGAGCCACATTGAGTTACATCATGAACTTTTAACCGGTTGAATGGGAGATTGGGACATTGTTGAGAGTTAGGTGTTTTGTTTTTTGGGAGGCCTTTTAAATTCCTGATGTCTTTCTCTCCCTGATTAGCACAGATACGGAAGATATGGCTGTTACTTGTTTCAGTTTCTGCCTTGTTCCTGTGCTGAGGATTTAACTTTGTTGTTAATTGAAATTGCGAGCAAGCAGTGGAAGGCTTTGTTTTGCTCTGTGTCTGTATCTCTGAAATGATTAAATAAGACCCTGTACTGGGATTAACGTATTCTATTCGTTTAGGATGCTTTGCCATTTTAGTTAACCAGAAAAAGTCTCAGTGATAGACAAACATTTCTTCAGTGTTTAAAGTGAGGGTTTGAAGGTGAGAAGCAGCCCAACAGAAAACCCTTCCAATGACCTTGAACCTGAATTTAATTTATATAAGTAGGAGCAGTGAGTCACTGACATTAAAGATGTGTAATTTTTCTTGGAGGAAGAGGTTTCTAGTTCTAAGATGTTCTAAGATCAGTGAACTAAAGATACGCAGATGCTATCTAAGGAAGGATTTCATCTCTTCTCTCTAGAGAGTGCCCCACAGGGATGCAAAGTCTGAGTCCCCACTGTTAAACCTTCTGTATCTGCTCCTTGGTCATTAGTGAGGCTGAAGCCTGGCTTTACCTGTGGGCGTCAGCTTTTCCATGGTTGTTTTAGACTTCAAATCTATGCAGATGGCCTTGTTCTCCCAGAACGGGGAGCGGTCATTTTTTTTTAGAACATTTTACCGTGTGTTCACATGGTGGACCTGCTCAGAGGAGGCACGTTCCTTTCACGGATAGTCAGTGCTCTTCAGAGAAGCGCCTGCTATGCTTTTTGCATTGTGACCAAAACAAACAAACAAAAATCCCAAACCAAACAGGTTTGTTGGCTTAAGCATAAAGGGTGAGATCAGTTTCCATTTCTTTCCAGTGGGTTGTCTGTCAGTGCATGGATATCGTTGGTACTGATAATGCTTTGCCTTGCCCCTAAACATCGCTCCTCACAGGAGATTTTTGTTCATTGGGGCAAGACAATCCTGCTGCACATCAAAGACCTTAGGATGCATGCAGGTTTGGACAAGCTGAGTGGACGTGGCTGTGAGGTGTCCAGGGACCTGGAACACAGTCCAGCAGGAACCTGGCCCCAGCCTGCAGTCTGGTTCAGTCCCTTGAAGGAATTTTCTGTGTTGACCGTGAAAGATGACCATCCTGTGTTTGAACAGTCGAGTGATGGGGAACTTGCTAGGTCCCTCTCAATTTGTCCCTCTCAATTTGGGGACTATTTGTCATTGTAGCTCATTCACTCACTTTCCCCATTCATTTCTTTATGAAAGATTTCAGGTCAGAGAGAGCCCACATTCCCCTCACTGATGTTTCAGTCTGTAGGCTTAGTTCTGTTCCCAGAAGACACAGTTCTTTTTCTAATTTTTATTTAAAGATTTATTTATTTATGCTTGCAGAACTGGGGTACAGGCCAGAGGTGCAGGGGCAGTGGGAGGATTCACCAGAGACAGAGTGGGGAGCAGAACAGGCAGACTGACAAAGTACATTGCTGAGGGGAGCAGTGGGCAGGTCAGCAGAAGCCTGCTGTGCCATGTGGGTCAGCTCCCTGGCTGGGGATTGAACTCGTGCTGCAGTGGCTTCTGAGAGCTTCCTAATGCAGTGCTTTAACCTGTTGCGCCACCAGGGAGAGCCCCAGACACAGTTCTTTTTTTACCTGAAAGTCTTTCAGGTATTTGAAGCCCCCTTACCCTCCTCTCCCTACACCATTGCCCTTCCATGGAAAAGAGCCCCAATTCCTATACTCCTATGCCCTAAAACCTGGAATCTCCACATGGTGAGTTCTTCTTTTAAATCTGCCTCATGGTGTCAGTGTCTTCAAATGGGGGGTTTGGATCTGCCATGCAGGACTTTGGGGTTAATATTTATGACTCTGGACACTGCCATTTCTATTAATAAAAACATAAGACTGTTTTTACATTTCACCTCAAACTGGCAGCTCCGGTTACATTTTTCCTCTACAAATTGAGGTATTACTTATACATCCCAAGATACCCAGATGCTGAATACCCCATTTAATCAGTTCTGAAGGATGCATGTGAAGTTGTGGAACATCTCCTCTTCCGTCTTCCTCCCCTGTCAGTGTGATTCCCTTGACCCCACTAATTCCCCTTAGCTCCCCTGTTGGCCAGAACTCTGCAGAGGGAGCTGGTGGTCTGATAACATTTTAATTGCCATAGGTTAGCTTTGTCTGCTCCACAATTTCACGTTTGCATTTGACTTCTTTAGCTGAGCATCCAATATTTGATTTATTCATCTTGGAACAGGTATCAGTGGGTGAAATTCAATTTAACTAAGAACACACATCTTAAAGACATCACTAAATACAGATTTTCTTCATCCTATACTTAAGCAGGTTGGTTTTTGAAGTTACACGTGGAACTTCAATTCCCATTTTTATTAATTCTTTGGAGGTAAGGAAGGTCTTTTGAATCTCATTTTCGGCATTTATTGTCTTAGCAGTAGAGGTAGCCTTGGGTCCTTTGTAAATGCGATTAATTCACCTTCCAGGTTGTTATTCAGATCACTGACAATTGTAATGAGCTCTGTGAGGATTAAAGGTCTTATTTTGGGTTGAGCTCGAACCATATATTTGCACATTTGGGATTTGTTTCACTGGCAATGAATTTTATCGTTGATCCTGATGAAAAAATATTCTGTGTCATTACCCTGTTTTTCAAATTGAGAATTGCCACTGAAAAGGAGGCAAGCGTAGTTTGTTGCGACTTCTTCCTTTTCTGCTTCCTCAAACCTGTTGTTACATCATCTTTTCTTGAAACTATCTTATCTTCTCAAGAGAAATAAAGCTAGTTTTCCTCCTCTAGTCCTTGCTATCTTTTTCTGTTCTCCACTTTTTCATTGGAGATTATTAACAGGAACTGTGCCAACCTATCGTTATGTATCTCTATTTTACACTCATTTTCCTCCAACTTCTTTCATTTATTTATTTTTTTGCCTTGTCCATTGTGACGATCACACTCTTCATAAAGATAACACAGTAGGAGTTGAGTACTTCTACCTTTTCTCTGTTACCCTTTGTCTTGGCCATCAGAATGCTGATGCTATAACTTTCTAGCTCTTTGTTTACTTACTAGGTAACCAATTCACCATCCCACGAAGTCACTAATCTACCTGTTATTTTGGTGATTGAGCATGATCCTTAATCCATTTTGAACTTGGGTTGTCTAGCTGCTATTCCTACCAGTTACCAAGGAACTAGAAGAATGACAGCTAGAATGAATTAGATTGCTGCTGCTCTTCTAAGTTGTTGCCTTTGGTTATGACTTTTCATCTTTAATGCATTCTTAAATCTCTGGACTATCAAGGGCCTTTGTGTACACATGACTGTCTTAAATTGGATACCGACCACTGTGCCTCTTAGAGTATGTGATTATAGCATCCGCCCCCTGTGTCATGGGTCCTGTGTCCTCTTTTGTGACTATTAGGAAATCAGAGATGACTTGGTTTGTTTTCTCGCAAGATTCTTGTCACTTCATCAGCAGAAGTTCTTCTTTTAGAATTGAGTCCAGAAAAGATGTTCCCTTTACTGTTGCTGTTGATAATGTGACTGCTCTTTCCCCCCAATTCCGAAAATATACCAATTTATTCTTAGATGCAAGGCTGCGTCTGGTCTTGTACCAGCTTATTAGTGCCATTGATGTGTTCTTGGGAACCTCTTAAGAAAGAAGATGATGCATTTCCTGAGGTTCTAGGGTTTAAGGAGCTCTTAAATAGAATTAATGAGCCAACGAGCAAATAGATAAACTTCCAGAATCATTTCAGACCAGACAGATAGCTCCCTTCAAGTCTGGTTAATGGGCCAATGTTGCTGGTTCAGTTTGCTTTAAAAATGGTACCGGCTCATCACACTGCTACAAGAAAGGGGTTGAGTCAACTTATATCTCTTTCAAAATAAGCTAAAACCAAACACATTTGTCAGGTGAGACTCTGTCCTCTTTAAAAGCAGTGTAGAGGCTATTCCTTAGTCTCCCACAGACATTCACTGTGGAGTCTCAAAATCCACCTCTTGGTTTACCCCTGTAGTCTTCTTGTAGAGGTACCAATTTTTTGTAATCTCAGTGACAAAAAGTCTTTGGAGTCAGTGATGTTATGAAAAGATTTATGTCAGTTATTAAGATCCTGAGTAAAAGTGAGTTCAAATGTGTAAAGGTGAAGGAAAGGCTCTGTATATAATTAGGGTTGAAGAGTGTCCTGATAACCCTGGTTGAGCATCTTACCATCCTACTGGGTGATGAAGTATCAGGTGGATTTTCTCCCTTTTCTCTGCCACCTTCCCTTCCTCCTCCACCACTTCCTCCTCAGTATAAAAGATATTTTTAAATTAGTACAATTCAATTTTTTTTTAAAGATTTTATTTATTTATTCATATAGAACTGGGGTACAGGCCAGAGATGCGGAGGGTGAGAGGATTCACCAGAGACAGAGTGGGGAGCAGAACAGGCAGATCGACGAAGTACACTGCTGAGGGGAGCAGCGGGTGGGTCAGGAGAGGTCTGCCACGCCATGTGGACTCCTCCAGGGCAGGCGGGAATTGAACTCATGCTGAAGTGGCTTAAGCTTTGTAGTGCAGTGCTTTAACCCGCTGCGCCACCAGGGAGGGCCAATTCAATTTTTTAAAAGATTTATTCATGCATACAGAACTGGGGAACAGGCCAAAGGCACAGGGGGTGGTGAGAGGATTCACCCCAGAGACGGAGTGGGGAGTGGAACAGGCAGATCCATGAAGTACACTGCTGAGGGGAGCAGCAGGCACGTCAGGAGAGGTCTGCTACGCCATGTGGGTCACCTCCGGGGCAGGGGATTGAACTTGCACCGAAGCAGCTGCGGCTCGCTTGCAGTGCTGAGCTTTAACCCACTGCACCATCAGGGAGGGCCACAATCCAATTTTTTAGAGATTGCTTTCTTGTTCAGTTGTAGCTTGCCTAGACACACTTTCCCTCTAACTTTTAATATTTAAAGCCCCGGAAAAGGTGTAAAATAAAAAAAGATCACTCTATACAACCTTCACTCAGAACCAGCAATTGTTAATAGTTTGCCAATTTGCTTTACTGTCATGTGTATGTCTTGTCCAGCTGCCTATATTTTTTCCTGAATCACTTGTAAGAAACTTGCCCTTCATAGCCAAATAATTAAACACACATTTCCATAGATAGATAGAATGACATCACTCCTAAGAAAACTAAAATAATTTCAATATTATAACTATAAATATTTTCCTCAGTTGCCCTGTATTTGTAACATTTCCCCCCCCCCCCATCCAGGGTTCAGTGAATTTTCACATACTGAATTTGATTCTTACATCTCTTTCGTCTCTCTTAATCTATAATATTCCTTCTGCCTTTTTTTTGCTTGTTTTCTATTCATAGCCTAATTTTTGTTCTTAACACTCCAGGCCCCTTTCCCCAATCAGAATGTCTCCCATTTCTAGATTTGTCCGCTTGTATAGGGTAGTGTGGAGATGGTGTATACCTTAATTTTTGTTCTTAACACTCCAGGCTCCTTTCCCCAATCAGAATGTCTCCCATTTCTAGATTTGTCCGCTTGTGTAGGGTAGTGTGGAGATGGTGTGTATCCTCAGTGCTTTACCCTGTAGGCATATGTCAGATTATCCCACTTTGGCGATGCCAGACTTGGTGAAGGCTGAGCTGTAAGACCCACTGTAAGAATACCTCTCTCCTTTCTATGCAGGGTTTTCCCCGGTTGATAGGTTTAGCTCCTGTGCGAATTCTAGTCCTCCAGCATGCCTGCACCTAGTGGCTTTAGAAAACAAACTTGATCCTGGATGGTTTGGTAATGATAGCAGAGGTTACAGAATGCTCATTTTGTTCATTTTGTTCCCAACATTTATTAGGTAGTCTTGCAATGGAAGAAAGTCTTGCCTCTCTGTCTTCTCTCTTCCTATTACTATTGTTTAGAGATCTGTACTATATTATCCCACAGTGGATAATAAGCTGCCATCATCATTTATTCTTTTCATGGTCAAGCTTTCCTAAATTTGGCCACTTGAAGCCCCATTAGACTTCTGTGTCCTCTGAGATGACTGTTCTATTCCCTAATCACTTTCTTGCTTTTGGCCATCACCTAAAATTATCCCTGTGCTAGTCCAGGGTCAACCATATCTCAGGGAGCTAAGTTCCTGTTTTCTGTGAATGTTACTGGAAACCCGGCCCTTGTCCTGGAGACTTTAACTGCAGATGCTCTTAATTGCTCTTGGGCAGATACAGTACCAATGAAGGGGAGACCTGGAAATCGTTCATCTTCTCCGAGAGGCCGGTGTTTGTGTATGGGCTCCTCACAGAGCCTGGGGAGAAGAGTACCGTCTTCACCATCTTTGGTTCCAACAAAGAGAACGTGCACAGCTGGCTGATCCTCCAGGTGAACGCCACCGATGCCTTGGGTAAGCTGGTGCCTCCTCTGCTATTTTCATAGAAATATTCATCCAACAACGTATCAGTGGAGATAACTCTGTACTTGGAGGAGCTTGTGATCCATGGCGAGAGGTGGGCAGATAAGCAGCGAGTGAGCAAGCAACAGAGGCATTTACCCAGGCATCCCTTGTGTTCTGTCCATGCCTTCATTTCCTACACAGTCATTGGCACATAGTAGGTCTAGTTATATACGTGTTGAACATGTGAATGAATAAGTGAATGAAAAACACTCTTGGGCAAATTCCATGCCTAACTCCCATGTGACAGGCAGCAGCCAGAAGGTGCAGCATCCTCTCAAAGCGAGGAACACGGCACAACTCATTAGTCTAGGCATGGGACATGTGCCTGAGCAGGGGGAGCGAAGCTCAGTGCGTCCCTCCTCCGCTGGCCTGCAAAGTTGGCTTTCACCCTCTACATTCCTCTATGTTGTTTCGGATGCTGGGATGCTCCGTATATTCCCCTGCTGTGATACCTAGTCAGTTTCTACTATTGAGATCCCTTGTCACATTTCAGGCACTGGGTGATAATGTCCCAACAAGAAGACCCCTTTGTCCCCATTGTGTGTCCAGAGCAAAGCCACGTCTCCTATAAAATCATCATACTGTTGGAACCATCTCCCAGCACCTAGATTCTATTATAAATCCTCAGGAACACAGACCTGCCCTCTGGAGTTACGTTCCACACGCCTGATGACCTTAGTCAGGAGCTTTGATAAGTTATTGCTGGTTAAATGGTGCCACGTTGGCAATAGTTCATCAGATTCAGTAGCATTTAAATGAAGATGCACATACGGGAAGGGTGAAAACATCAGTGTAGTCACAGGAGTCCTTTGGAATAACTATAGAAACCGCTTGACTTGACTTTGAAATGTCGGTGGCTAGGCGAGTGAGCTCAGCCTCCCTCCACGAAGATCCTGCACCTTCCAGGCGGTGACAGCAAGCAAACCTGTCACTTCCAAATCACATGTGCTCATGCCACCCCAGCAGCCATTGCGTTCTGTTCGTGTCTTCATTACCTACGCAGTCATCGGCACATAGTACATCATTCACGTACTCACTCACATGTTCAAGGAGGCAGGTGGGAGCTGTGCTCCTGAGTGACCCCCTTTGCAAGATGCAGCCCCCTGCCAGATTCTTTTGGAGTGGACACCCCTAGATGCCTGTTTCTAAAGGGAACTGTGGAATTTGCTAAACTACTTGAGTAGCTGGTACCACCAGCGACTTGCTTCTCCCAGCCTTTTCAGTCTGATGTCTGTGTTCTAGGGGGCTGCCGTTTTTGTGGGTGTGGGTGCTTTCTAGGCCCAGACAAGCCGCTGGAGACTTGGGACTGTGCTGCAGGGGCCTGTGCTCACGGAGCAGCGGCAGGCAGCGAGTGATGGGTTGGGGGCGCGGCCAGGCCAGGACACCCCACAGAGGCATGCCTCAGTGCTGCTTTTCCTTTCCTCAGGGGTCCCCTGCACAGAGAATGACTATAAGCTGTGGTCACCATCTGATGAGCGGGGCAATGAGTGTTTGCTGGGACACAAGACTGTCTTTAAACGGAGGACACCCCACGCCACGTGCTTCAATGGTGAAGACTTCGACCGGCCGGTGGTTGTCTCCAACTGTTCCTGCACCCGCGAGGACTATGAATGGTGGGGTGTTCTCCAAGGTCTGGGAGGAAATGGTCTTGTTCACTCCACAGTGCGAGGAAGCTGACTGGGGAAAGGCAGGGACTGGAAGGAAGCATGTGTTTATAAAGGCTCTGGCGTGTGCCCGGGACCCTGTCGGCACTGGCTACCGAGGTGCTGCCATTCAGCTCTTCCCACCATGAATGGGGTAGACGTGTTGGCTCCTTAGGATTTATTCAGGATTAGGTCACTCTGGTGTTTATTTCTGGAGTGGAACCCAGAGAGGGAACCTATGGAAGGTTCCACTGTAGGTCGCTTTTTGCTTCAGAGTCCTATTCCAGAGGGAATTTATTGCTTTATCTGAACTGAGGGGCTGTTAGTGTGTATTTGCCGGTGTGTTGGTTCTTCAGTGAGCTTAAGGGTGCCGCTGAGAACAGTGGGAAGAGATGAAGGTGCGTGCAGCTGTAGCAGGAGATGGAAGCTGTGTCAGCTTGGAGCTACAGCATGGGCAGGAGGGTGGTGACTGGTGGCTGTGGGGGTGTCGGGAAGGTTCTGGAGGAGTAGCTCATGGAGCATGTCTGTCATGGGCAGCAGTGTGAGGGTGTGGAGGCAGAGACAGGGAAATGGTTGGGTGTTTGCTGGAGCATCTTGTCAGGAGTGGGTAGGGTTGGAAAGGGAGAAGACACTGATAAGAGAACATGATCGAATAGACGGGGAGACTTGGGACTTATTCTGGAAGCAGAAGGGCATCTGAGGCTGTGGAGGAGAAATGATGGTCAGTTCAGAGCTCAGCTTTAGGGAGTGGTCCAGCACAGAACACCCAGGCTCTCGGAGCCCCTCCACCGGCCCTGGTGTCTGTAATCCAGTTTGACATCATCTTGGATTAGCAGGGGTGTGGTGGCTGAGACACACAGGAGCTGAAGTTTGCTGTGGGAAGCCACGCTTGTCTTGACTAAAGCGAGACGCCTCTGGTGTGTTCTCATCCAGAGGTTTGAACCAGGCCACTGGTGAATGTTGCAAGCTTTGCAGCCGTGTGGACAATGCTGCAGCCCGGTGAATGGGTACGGCTGAGGTCCCATCGAGCTGTGTTCACAAACCCAGTCTGCTGGCTTTGGGCCATCCTGTGTCTGGAGCTATGCTTGTGAACCTGAACTTGCTCAGAAGTCACTGAGGATCCTGCCACAATTCGGGCTGTGATGGCTTGGCCCCAGAGCACCTGCTGGGAGGCCCCATCCTTCCCCTTGGGAAGCTGCCTGGTGCCGAGTTAATGGCCTAGGCAATTTCAAGGCCAAGCACAGAGCCGAACGGTGCTCCCGGCATGCCTCTGCCCCCTTCTGCTCTCTCATTGGCTCCCCGAAATAGCAATTTTAATCATGAAAAAGATTTTGGTGCCTTCTCTTTTTGTTTAATTAAACAGAATTAAATTCTCTTTATGGTAAGCACATGTTCCAGAGAAATACATTAAACATGCAGTTTAGTGTTTGTTTTTCTTGAAGTAGCTCTTTCTTCCTTTATCCTATCAATCACTACAGAATGAAATGAAATCAAGAAAATGTAAGACGATGTAATGAATGTTTGATTTTTTTTCACTCCCCTCAGGGAACTCTTACATTTTTTGTTCTAAAATCTTCCAATTTCCCCAACTATGCCCATACCAGGGACTGATGTGCCATCCTGGTTAAAGGGTCTGGCCCCCCAACTTCCAACACCCACTCCTAAGAACAGGGTGCCGAGTCTTAATATGACAGACCAGGGAAGCTACCCACCCTGCCTTGCATGGCGTTGGGCTTCCTGCCAGATGAGCTTATGGGTGACAGCCCTGTGAAAATGGTAGCATAAGGGGTGTATTGACTTCAGACCACCCTGCTGCTCTTCTGCTTATGATGGCTGCCAGACCTGGGAATGTCTAGTGGCATCAGATGGTGGCAGAGGTGGGAAATGGTCTGAAGATGACAGAAGAGCAAACTAGAATGAGAGATCGTGCAGGGCCTGTTATTAGTTATTAGAATAGCTGCTGGGTGCTGAGTGTGTTTGCAAGTCCATCACTTCTGACGGTCTTTCCAGATCTCATTGGGAAGCCCAGCCACTGGTCTTGTATGCTGCATGATCTTAGGGGTTGTTTCTCTCCCTTCTTAGCTGGCCCACATTGCCAGGAAGTGTAGCTGTCGATGTCCTGACTGCAGCCCTGGGAAACAGTGCATCTTGTACCTCACCATTTATATGTGTATGCAAAGGCACAGCCACACATAAATAAAGCAGAGTTTTGGGAGGCGGTGTTTACTTTTACATGATGAATTTTGCAATCTTCTGTTCTGTGTTGGGGAGGGAAGAAGCTGGTCTTGACCCTCGAAGTATTTACACAGTCCGCCAGGTCACGACCCACAACTGGGAGAACCTGCCTAAGACAGAAGCTTTGCATTGAAGGCTCATAGTTAGCTAATGCTCCAGCTACTCCAAAAAATTCAAAGCAGCCATTCAGTCAAAACTGACTTAATGAGATCTGTTTCATACAGCAATAAAACTGCTTCCTTTTGAACTCTATGAGTTGCTAAATGTGGATTATGACATAATATACACATGAACCACCTTGCCCTGTCCCTGTTAATACCTTCCCTATAGTAGATATTCAATAAACAACACAGTGAGCGGAATACAGCAAATGAAGCCTTGCAGGGAAAGCACATCAACGTGGAAAATCCCTTTGAATCAGGGATTTATGGTTTAAGCCGGGCCGGGAGGAGGAGTGCAGCTGCTTCTGCTGGGGTTGTCAGATAAGGGCAGTGAAGGCACAGAGCTGAGGGCAGAGCCGAGTCCAGAGCTCGGAGCCTGCTTCTTGCTCCAGGACCCTGCCATTGAGCGGGGCAGCTTGATGGAGCGGGGACCTCGCACCCAGAAGGCCCCTTGGCCAGAGCCCTGAGTCTGCCAGTGCAGGCTGAGTCCTAGGGTTCCGTAGGTGCTGTGTGGGCGGCTTAAACAACACTGAATCCTGGTTCAAAAGACGTATTTTGAATGACTTAGTTTTTCTGACCATATCAAGGAGAAAACAGCCTACCTGGCGCTGTTAACGATTTTACATTTGTGAATTCCTTTCAGTAGAGGGTTGGCAACCTGAGTCTGGGGTAGGGTGCTGGCTCGAGCTGAAACGAGAACTGTGTTTTCAGCAGGCTGCTCGGTACCACTTTTGTCTCTTTGTGGTGTAGGGTAGTGGCTTTTCAGTTCTGGTTTTGATGTCAGTCTCCTTTGGGAAATGGATTTATCCCTGTGTGAGTGAGTATTCTTTCAGGGCCATGTCAATGCACACGTGGTGGTAGGGATCTGGACCCCCTAACGGAGCCCGTTGCCTTTTCAGTGACTTTGGCTTCAAGATGAGTGAAGACTTGTCCCTGGAGGTGTGTGTCCCGGACCCTGAGTTTTCTGGGAAGTCCTACTCCCCGCCTGTGCCTTGTCCCGTGGGTTCAACTTACAGGAGAACCAGAGGGTGTGTATGTCTCTCAGTGTTACCATGTTGTGGGGGGGGGGGCGGGGGGGGCAGGCCTGCACCTGCCTTAAGAGGGCATGGGGGGACAGTTGGTGCCTTCATGCTCTGAGTGCTAGAATGCAGGCTCAAGTAACTTGGATGATACTTAAAATTAGAATATTGGTAAACTCTCCTATTGCTGTTGAGGGAAAAAAATGTAAGTCTGGAAGCTGTTCTGCAGTTCTAGTTATATATATGTTAATTGAAACAAATAACATTACATGTGCATTACAACACTGCCTATGATTTAGGGGTATAGGTTCACCCCTCTTCAAGGGTATAGGCACACCACAACCACCACCAAAGCACCAGTAAATCCTCCACGGGGCTCCCCTCTAGCTGTCTCTTTAGTCATGTAGCATGCACACATCTTCATAGGCATTTGTTGAAGATAATGCATGTAAAATCTTGCCTAAGACAGCACCCCAACTTGGCTGGACTGCCTGATTCCCTGCAGGACCAAGTCAGAATGGCCAGCCCTCTCCTATCTCCTCCTCCTCTAAAAAGTGAGCAGATGAGCTCTGTTTCCAGGGATAGGAAATAAGTTCCCAATCGTGATGCCTTCGTGGCTATTCATGTTTCTGACCTTGCTCTTGGGCTGGCGGTGACAGCTACCGGAAGATACCTGGGGACACCTGCAGCGGAGGGGATGTGGAAGCCCGGCTGGAAGGAGAGCTGCTCCCGTGCCCCCTGGCAGGTAAGAGAGGCGGCTTCTTCCCTTCGACACCTCGAGATGTCAGGAAACATCCTCCTCCCACCCAGGTCTAGCCTGTGGCTCCCCTCACTTAGTGAGGGGAAGGATGGGCTTTTTCTTCCCGAGCATGGCAGAGCCTCCTCTCGCTCGTCAGCTTGGTCTCTGGACTAAATGAGTTCTAGCCTCTGCCTTTATGGGAGTGGAAGACACCATTTAGGGAAATCCTTTATTGTACTGAAAAATGTTTGCTGTTGTGTGGTAGGTGAGGGTGACAGAGCTTGAATGTCCTTGATCTTAGTGTCAGAGTGGAATAAAGAGAGACCTAACCCTTCTTGGAAAGCAGTTAGGTGTTCTATCTTTATATAATCACAACTAATATTTGAAAGGAACTTTACACATTTTTTTTTAAAGATTTATTTTACTTACGCATACAGAACTGTGGTATAGGCCAGAGGTACAGGGATGGTGGGAGGATCTACCAGAAACAGAGTGGGGAACAGAACAGGAAGCTTGCTGAGGGGAGCAGCAGGCGAGACAGGAGGGGTCTGCTGTACCATGTGGGTCAGATCCTGGGCCGGGGATCGAACGTGCACTGAAGTGGCTGCAGCTAGCTTGTGCTGCGCTTTAACCCGCTGCACCACCAGGGAGGGCCTGGAACCTTACGCATGTTAATGTACTTTACGGTGTGTAATGACTTTAGTCTTTTTAAGTAGCCAGTGAAGTAGGTCTGATCACCGCTATTCTTTTTACATACATTAACTGTGTTCATGCATTTAAGGTCACGTACCTGGTAAGTGCCAGCTCAAAGTCAGACTCTAAGCCCCATGTTTCTACTTGTACACCACCAATATGTCCTATTGGTGTCATTCTTTTAAATGATTATTACGCATTATTTCTTACTAAGAAAATCTTCAGAGAATGTATGTACTATAAAGACATAGTATGTTTCTAAACACTTAGAACTGATTTCTTGGTACATGTTGAGCTGTTTGTAATTTAGAAATGAAATCACAATACCTTAAAGTAGTTACTGTTTGTGTACCTTTTCCTCACTCTCTTTTGAGTTTTTGCTCATTTAGAGCTTTCTTATTCCCTCCGAGTGCTACCTTCTGCTCACACCTCTCTTGGAGGTGAAGGTGGACCGCTGGAGAATATTCCCTGCCCCCTCAGAGGTGCTGTTTAAGCACCGAATGATTCGGAAGCAAGCGTGTTGGCCTCGTAGGCAGGCCAGAGTGCTGGCTCCCTCTCTTTCTGCTTGCCAGCTTGCCCTGGGGTTTCCCATGCTAAGCTCATTAGTCCCTTAATTTAATCTTCCATCATTACTACAGTAATTAACATGCCTCACTGTGGAGACTTAAAAAGAACACAGCTTCAGCAGATTCCCACACATGAGCAGATCATATTCAGATACTAATCTCTCAAGAGCTGTTGCTTGTGAGGACTTGGGTTAGCAAAGTTGGACTGATTGTCCTAAAGGAGCTGAAGTATGTACATTGGTAATAAGTATTTCTGAAGGTAATTCAGTGAGGGACACAACAGTTTGTTTAAAGTCATTTTGGCGGTTAGGAAAGCTATTCTCTCTTCTGATCAGAGAAGATGAAACAGAATGAAGTGGGAGTAAAGTTGCAGATTAGACCACTTCCTAACTGTCAAAGGCAAAGGTGGAACAGGGGTCAGGGAAGTACCCAGAAAGGAAGAGGGTTTTGCGAGACTGATGGAAACATAACATCTTTGTAAAGATGAGGTCATCTGGACATCTGGAAAGATTTTTAAAAATGAAGTACTTTTTCCTTCTCTATGATCACTACGTGCTCATGGATGAATGGGCTTCGTCACAGGGCCTGTCCGTTCTCTGCTAAGTACATGTAAGTGTACAGCAAGCATTACATGTTACCTGCGCGCAGATCCAAGCCGAGTATCTCTGGGCTCAGGCTCTGTTGTAAAGGCTGGTGTGTTAGAAGAAACCAAAGCAGCCGGATGAAGTGTGAAACCATTAGACAGGGTGAGAGGCTGCAGTAATGTATTCTCCCTGGCTTCACCACTTTTATCTTGACTGCCCCCTTCTGTGTGAATGACAGTGGGGAGGTTTTCTTGAAAACCCAAGGTGAGATCAGCTGTTATGTGGTGGTAGCTTAAATAATTTCAACATAAGCCCAAAGGGTGAACTTTCCTTTATTGAAATGGGAGGTGGAATTAATTTTCCGGTGTGTTATCTGTATGGAGGCCTTATAAGGCAGGAGGCTAGCACATGCTCATTCGTTGAAGGGATGGCAAGAGAGCATGAGAAACAGACATGAGGCAGCAGAGAGACTCAGATGTACATCTTGGTCCTGTTTCCAACATAGTGTCCAAATGGATCTGATTTGCTGCTCACCTCCAGTTCCCAGGAAGAACGTGGCTGTTTGCAGACTGTTCCTGAGTGGTGGGGAGGGAGCAGTGAACTCTTAGTTGCTAGCTATCTGATCTTTTCAGTAAATCTCTTAAGCTCTCTGGGCCTCTATTTCTTCATCTTAAAAAACAGTCCTCTTATTATGTGTATCACAAAAGGCAGCAAAGCGCAGTGGTTAAGAACACTCTGTCTCCTGGCTGAATCTTGGTTCTGCCACTTCTATATTTCATCTGTGCTCTCATCTTGCTCATGAGTAAACTAGAGCTAAGAGTAGTTCTTCCATTATGCCATCATTGCTCAGCTTAAAAAATGCTGGTAGGTCATGAGTGGTGTGTACGTAGAAATAGAAGCTTGGTGATTATGTTAATAATTTTGTAAGCAGCCAAGAATAAATGTGTTATTGTTTTGCAATGTAACTTGAAGTCATCAATGCATGTCATGGTGAACAATATTGAGGAGGTAAGTGAAGAGATTAGAAAAGTTAGTTACTAATCATGGGAATAATAGTCTAATCTACAAGACTGTGGTGCATGGCATAGGGCATGACAACCTTATACACCTTCTTGGTCTTCATTCTTTTTAAAGATTTATTTATGCTACAGAACTGGGGTACAAGCCAGAGGTGCAGGGATGGTGAGAGGCTTCACCAGAGACAGAGTGGGGAGCAGAATAGGCTGACTGATGAAGCACACTGCTGAGGGGAGCAGCGGGCGGTCAGGAGAGGTCTGCCGTGCCATGTGGGTCACCTCCAGGGCTGGGGATCGAACTTGCACTGAAGCGGCAGTGCTTGGCTTGCAGTGCTGCGCCCTTAACCATTGCACCATCAGGAAGGGCCCTCAGTCTTCATTCTTACTTGATTCTCGATCCTTCCTAAAGTCAATGGCAACGAGTTTTGTGTGAGATAAACAGGTCAGCATCTTGGGCGCCCCTCCACCCTGAGGCCCCCTTCCCTGATGTGTTGTGTGTCGTGCAGAGGAGAACGAGTTCATGCTCTACGCCATACGCAAGTCCATCCACCGCTACGACCTGGCGTCGGGGGCCACCGAGCAGCTGCCTCTCACCGGCCTGCGGGCAGCGGTGGCCTTGGACTTTGACTACGAGCGCAACTGCTTGTATTGGTCCGACCTGGCCTTGGACATCATCCAGGTGAGTCGAGGCTTGGTCTGGCTCTGGGGGGCACTTTGTGGCCCCCCAATCCTGATAGCTGCTTTCAGAATGGTGTGAGGGAGTAGACAGTTGAGCTTTGCAAGTCGTCCTCCTCTCGGGCCAACCGATGAAGCTGTTCAGTTTCATGGGTTAGTATTATCTTTCCCTGCCTATGTCTGTTCTTGGAGGAGGGACACAAAGGAGCCCCACGCCTGAGCCTTGCTCCTCAGCGAGATCTCATGCTGGGTCCAGCGTTACAGGGTGATGAGTACTCCCCGCTGTACTCCCTGCCTCTGCAGGACCTTTCCTCCCCGTCCATGGCATCATGACAGCTGAGAGCCCGCACAGGCCAGGTGGATACTCTGTACTGAAGCCATACATTTAAAGGAGGGAGTTTTGTTCTTTATGCTCTGCCTGTGCAATCATGTTGGAAAAGCAGTTCTATCAAGTTGTAGCTGGGCTTCTAACCCAACAGACATTTTCCCAGAGCCTGAGGGCTGGCAAAGGCAGGACAGCAGCTGTCCCTGCAGGAGCACCTGATGCCTTAATGCTGCCTCTGGGAGGAGAGACCCTGGAAGCCCGAGGGTGGTCAGGCCAGAACTTGAAAATAACCACAGCCTGGCCTCACTTATTTTAGAAGCAGACAGACTCCTGCATCTCCTTACACTGCAACGTTGTTACCATGAGGCAGTGTGGATGAGCAACCAGTGCTCTTCACTTGCAGAGGGATAGAAGAAATTATGTTTGGTTTCATTATTCTACCTAAAACGGGCAGCCTTCATGCAGCTTAGAAATGTTTGATTAAAAACCGCTTCATTCCTCTGGAAAGTTTATTTCTATAAAACGCCTCATCCCTGTCCAGTCAAGCCAGTTGACGTTGGGGTTAGCTCGGCAGGATGTCACTTGAGTATTTAATGTTTTCCCCCCCCCCCCCTTTCAGCGCCTCTGCTTGAATGGGAGTACAGGGCAAGAAGTGATCATCAGTTCTGGCCTGGAGACAGTGGAAGCGCTGGCCTTTGAGCCCCTCAGCCAGCTACTCTACTGGGTGGATGCTGGTCTCAGGAAGATTGAGGTAAGTAAGGGTGTCCCCGTGCCGACCTGGGGTCAGTGAGCAGGGCATGTCTGGCTGCAGGCCAGATTCGACACAGAGGTTGGAGCCAGTGTTCAGTGTCTCTGGAAACTGTGAAGATTCCTGAGAATGGACCAGCTGAGCCTCTGGGGAAGGAAGAGAAGGGAGATAGTCATGGAATTAATTGCTCAAGGCTGCCGAGCTCCCAGAGAGAACAGGGCACCTGAATCTCTCAGACAGATGCATGCAGATAGCTGGAAGTCTGTGTATGGCCAGCAGAGGGGTGGCCGTGGTGACCACGGCAGTGGCATGGTGCTGTTCTCGCTGATGGAGGAATCAGGCCCTGATGGTCAGGAGGTCATCAGTGCTGCCCCTTGTGGGGCTGGCGGAACCACTCACAGGGATCCCTTGAGCCCTGTCTCACAGTACCCCTTAGGGCAGGTTCTCCCGTCACCCCCACTTCACCTACTTGCAGCTTGGCTACCCTAGGCAACTTGAGAGCTACATATGGCCTCTGAATGATGCCAGCCACTGTCTCTGGGAATGCCACTCTCCCCTTGTGCAGGCTACAGCTGAGGCCGGCGAGCACTGCCGCGCCACCTCCTTATGCTCACTGTGTGGGGCCTGGCGTGCAAGGTGACGGTGCCCCTAGAGACAGCGAGACACAGAGGAGTTGCAAGACGGCAGGCACCAGCTTGCGAGACAGACCTGGGTTCAGTCCTTGGTCGCTTGGACGCTTCCCTTTCTTCATCTGTAAGACAAACATTCATTTCTGTGCTCAGTGGTTTGAGAAGTGCTGAATGAGAGAGAGAACCATGTCAGATGTGGTTTTAATGTGGCAATGTTACCTGGGTAGCAGACTTGCCTGTTCTGATAGAGATTAGATTTCAGGGCAGGAAGCAAAGTCATGGAGAAATGAGTCCCTCGGCGCTGCTGCTGCTGAGTATGCGAAGAATGTCAAACAGGCCACGTGGCCTGTGGGAGCAGGGACCGTGCAGCAAAGCAGGCATCTCAGCACGTGGCATCAGAGCTGAACCTGCTGGAGGAGAGGGTAATTGGGGTGCTCACCTCTTAGGGAGGTCGAGAGATGGGGCTCACGGTGCACAGTAGCTGCCTGCTGTGTGTGGTTTTGCTGTTTCTCTCCTTTCATTAATTGTGGTCAGCACTTTGCCAGATTTGAGAAAGATGCAGCACAGTTGCCAACATACCGGAAAACAGTTTGGAAAGAGGATTTGATTGGACAGCCACAGACAGGCCCCCGAGGGGACAGGAGCAGATGAGAGTAAAGGTGTGTCAGGCTCGAAGATCCAGCTCAAAGAAATTGCAAGAGCTCAACTGGGCGAGGGACTGGGGCTCCCACCTGTGGAGACTCCCCCTCAGGGCTGTGACGTGAGAAATTGTTCTGCAGACAGCATGGAGCCTTCGATGACTTTGGTGCGTGGCGTTGCATAGGCAGGTTAAAGGGGTGAATGCATGCCGGACACAGTGCAGGTCATCAACTCCAGGATGCAGGGGGCTGGCTCCTTTGTTAGAACTGTGAGGACTGTCACATGAGCCAGAGGAGGATGCTACTCACTGATTGCACAGAGGGGCAGGTCCCCAGAAAAGTCTGCAGGGGAATCTGGCAGCCACAGAGGCCAAACTGTGGGTAGTTGCTGAATAGGAGACTGCAGCGTGGCCTTTTAAGGGGCACCCAGGCATTTTGCTCCCTTTCCCCATTTTTTTTTCCAGGTGGCTAATCCAGATGGTGACTTCCGACTCACAATTGTTAATTCCTCTGTGCTGGACCGGCCCAGGGCTCTGGTCCTCCTGCCTCAGGAGGGGTAAGTGAACCCCCAGTGGGAGTCAAGGTGTCAGATGCCACATATTCCTGTGGAAATGCAAACTGCTGGGAAAAACCTATTTCTTGTGGTTGTGACTGAAATGAATCTATTATTGGGAGCTTTGACACCATAGTCTTGGCCAGGTAACCCTGTTCCCATTTCTTTAGCAAGCGTCAGGATCTCTCTTAGCGTCCAGGTGTCTCACAGCTGTGGGGCGTCGTTTTACTATTAAGAGCTTCGATGACATGGGCCTGGTTGGTCAGATTGTGTGAGGATCCTTTAAGTTCAAGCACACTGCAAACATTTAGTCTATCCCACCTTTTTCGCACTTCCCAGTGCATGTAGCTTCCTCCCAGAGCTTCAGATGTGGCTGGGAAATGCAGAATGTTCTTTATTACCTAATGAGCTGAAGGAAACATAACCCAAAGGGAAGTTTTGGATTAGCTTTTCTTCCTGATCAAATTGACAATTAAATCTATTTCTTAAAGGAAAATTCTGACAGTGAGGTATATACCTGCTAAAAAACACTAAAAGAACAGTAGCTGACGAAGTAGTCTTTCTTCTTTTCTTACTCTTGACCCTCATACCTGACACTTCATAGGGGTAATCATGATGACCAGAAGTTACATATCTTTGAGAATTAAAAAAGAAAATTCATGTACAAGCACATAATAAAACACAGACATAGGTCAAATAGTATCATAAGATATTTACTATTTATGTTTTAAACAACTTAATATTTAATGTTAATATAAATCTAATGTTAGTTTCAACTGACCCCCTCTGAATGTACCATATGTGTTCTTTTCTCTCTAGATTCACATGGGTGGAGGGAAGTGTGTGTGTGTGTGTGTGTGCGTGTGTGTGTGTGTATTTGGCGAGACGGAGTATTGCTGGTAGTAGAGGCATTTTGTACATCATTTTTACAAATTCTGATTCTTTCTCTAGAGACTCTCCAGTACAGGAATTCCTGCATCAGGAATTAAATGGTTTAGAGTATTAGAATTATAGAGTGTGACAGTAATGCTGAGGTAGCCATCTGGTTGGTGTGGAGGGACTCCTACCTGCTTGGAGCAGTGTTTGAGAGCCTCTTTCCCTCGTTCCAATGTCATGCGTTGTCTCTCCCTGTGTGGACCAGGATCATGTTCTGGACCGACTGGGGAGACCTGAAGCCTGGCATTTATCGGAGCAACATGGATGGCTCTGCTGTGCATCGCCTCGTGTCGGAGGATGTAAAGTGGCCCAATGGCATCTCCGTGGATGACCAGTGGATCTACTGGACAGATGCCTACCTGGACTGCATCGAGCGCGTCAGTTTCAGTGGCCAGCAGCGTTCTGTCATCCTGGACAACCTCCCGCACCCCTATGCCATTGCCGTCTTCAAGGTGAGGGGAAGAGTGTAACAATAATGCTGTTACTGGGATTTGGCAGAGAGATTTGACCAAGTTCTAGAACATTCACTTCTTTCTGAAATGGAGACAGTTTATTTCAGCCTGTACAGGGTGCTCACTGTTAGCATTTCAAAACATTCTTGGTTGAGGCCATTGCCCCTGAAACTTCCCACGTTGCTCTCATCCTTGGCTCCCTGTGTTCATTTCTTGTGAGGTTTGGGCTCCCTGATGACTTAAGATGAGGTCCCTACCACCTTGTTGCCTTTCACCTCCACTTTGTGTCTAGAGGACTAAATAGTTGTTCCCAACAGTGGCGAGCAGGGCGGGACTTGCAGCCAGTGTGGGTACCCCTCAGTAGTTACTTGTGGGTCGTTCCCTCAGTGTGGACGCTTGGTGTCAGGGTAACATCTGACTCTTGCCTTCAGATGCAACGTCCTTGGTCAGGCTGATGGTGCAAATAAGCGCTTCACGTGCCCTGCTGGGCAGAGTTGTCATTCGCACCAAGCCCCAAACGGAGGCCCATAGAACTGAACTAACAAGCCAAACTTCTGTTTTTAGAATGAAATCTACTGGGATGACTGGTCACAGCTCAGCATATTCCGAGCTTCCAAACACAGCGGGTCCCAGATGACAATTCTGGCAAGTCAGCTCACAGGACTGATGGACATGAAGATTTTCTACAAGGGAAAGACCACTGGTAAGGCAGAGTCTTCATCTCCATCGTCAAGCTGATCTCGACAGGGGCTGGGTGTGGGCACTCTGCACTCAGAGTGGGATCTGGCAGCCTGCATCCTTGTTGTCACGACAACATGCACATTATTTAATTTCTTCCTAATGACATCTTAATTTCTTTTCTAATGATACACAAACAGCTGGAAGACGGCATGTTTCTGCCTGCCTGGAGTGTTGGTGCTTGGTGGGTAATTACACCCTCCTCCTGCCTTGGCCCCTTACTGATTGGTGGCGTGGCTTCTGTTGCAGCTGGAGAAGCCCAGCGTGTGGTTAATCCCCAGTTGGCTCCCTGACAGGGAGCAACGCTGAGCTGGGTGTGCAGGCAGCTGTGGCCTGACAGGCATCCGTCTACCTCGTCCTCTGCTTGTCCCGATGACCTGTTCCTCGCGGAACACCCACCTCCTGGTAAATCTTTGTTTAGTCAGATGAATGAACTAGCCCCACCAGGAAACTATAAATAAGGGGGATTGCTTTTTTATTTTTTTTTTCCTCAACAATTTTACTATTGCTCAGCACTCCGTATATGCTCCATTCTGATTAGGGAGTGACGGAGACTTCAGGTACAAAGCCCTGAGCGGCTGGCGCTGGTGTCTGCATCCTTGGTAGAAAGCCTTCTGCCTTAATCGCCTGGTTTATCTTTGTCTTACTGGTTCTTCCAGATGAGAGAGATCTGGGTACTCCCAAGAAGAATAGGACCTTTCTTCTCCCAAGAAGAAGCACCCTTGGTATCTCAACCGTGCTAAGAAGCACCTGAGACTGCTGGCTCGTGCTTATTGTCGAGCTGCTAGGATCTCTGTTCTGGCCTAGACTGTTGATATTGTTTGTGGGTTTTGGCTGGGTGTATGCTAAGAGAATATTGACAAGGGGAAATAATACAGTTATAGATATCCTTGTTACTTTTGGGGCCAATGAAACTAGCTTGAGAACAACCATGGAAAATATAAAGTGTCTTAGAAATGGAAGTCTGTTAGAATGTCTTCACCACTTAGGAAGTCGGGTTTATGGGTTAGGGAACAAGATCTTAGATACAAATTAGCTTTCCCAAAGGTCCCTCACCTAGATTAGGAGCTGGGCTTTTGTCCCATCCTGCTGCTAAGTGGAGGAATCACGCTCCTTCCTAGAGGCGGGGCCTGCTTTCTAACAGCAAGTGAAGGAGACATGCCTCTCAGCCCCGGAGGCGGGATCATGGGCCCTTGACAGACACCTGTGGACCACCTCATCCAGCAAGCTGGTGGGATTTCCAGCATTTCTCTTAAGTTACAGGCAATATGGATGACAGGTCTTCATTTTGACAAGAACTTGTGAGCCTGTGCTTGGTGAACACACGACAGGCCCCCAAACACTGTCCAGACAAAGCTGGTGATTGATCCCTGGGTGCCCCCTCCCCAGTCATGGTGATCACGTCTGGGTCCGTGGAGTTGTGAGCAAGGGGGGTTGGGATCTGACGGTGTGTACTTGCTCATGGCCAACTGATGTTGTACAAACAGAGTGTGATTTCCCGTTCATGCCTCAAGAGTCCCCTCTGATTGAAGCAGCCAGGGCGATTCTTGGGCTCTGGAGAGCATTTGTGGAGTTGCTGTACCAGTGCTGAGAACCCAGACTGAGACCCATGCGGGGCCAGGCCCGCTATGACCTCTGCTGTCCCCTTCTCCATTTTCCCTGGGGGCTCTTTTCTCCATGCAGGCGGGAGACTCCCAGGAGTTCTGCCCACAGACGCAGGGGCTGCAAGTTAGTCTTCTCGAAGGGCCAGTTTGGATGAAGTGAAACTTGTGCAGAGATGCCTACCAGCCGTGATCTCGTTTGCTCAACCTGCTGGCTTTCTCGGGCTCAGAGGGAATATTACAAATTAGTCATGTGTGCTGGCAACTCCTGCTGCAAGGAAGTTTTGAAAACTTTAGTTGTCTCTTCCCACAGTAGGAACTTGCTGTTCCAGGTGTGATGGGACAGCATAGCAGCAACTCTGCTTCTCAGGGCACTGTGTGTCATCACCTCCCTGAGGCCATGTGGATTTGTGTAATCTGTTTATCGCTCCCAAATCTGTGTCTGTAAATCTCCCCATCTGATGAGAATGTGAAAGTTGGATTCAGCAGCTATGTGGATTTCAAAGCGCGAACTTGAAGGAGAGCGTCAGTCATTGTTCTCTCTAGAGTCCCTGCACCAGCCCTGGGCCAGGACCGTGATTTAGAAGTGCTGTGTTTGGACTGATTTTTGTTTATGATACAAACCGGGTTAATTTGGTTATCAGTCAGTTTGGGGTGTTTGGTTATAAATGGGTGTATTTATACTTGCTCATTGCTACATAGCATTATTGGGGTGATGTTTCCTTCACAGGGATTACTCACAAAGCCATCGATGTATTGAGTTGATGCTGTAATGGGTTAAAATATTTTGGAGGTTTTGACGCTGTCCTTCCGAGTTGCAGTAAGCACGTGCTTTCAAGTATCCGTAATGAGAACAAATATTTATTATGTGGTGTGGATTTGATTTTGATAATTGTCAAGTGTATAGACAATTCAGCACGATAATTGCATTTTTGGCTTCTGGAACAATTTTCCAAAGAGGAAATCCGAAAATGTCCTGAACAAGCCCAGGGAAGACGTCTTGAGTGGTAGATGTCTGAGGGGCATCTGCAGAGCGGAGGTGACAGCTGTCCGTTGGGGGGACGCTCTCCCCCTCACTGCCTGGCTACCCAGGACGGCGGTGTGGACACAGGGCTTGCGTCTGTGTTCCGCTGGCTCTGGGCGCGCTGCCGAATCACCTTCCCGCTCTTTGGGTTGGGGCTGATACATGCTCCCCCCTTCTGGACAGTGGTGGTTTTATACCACCCTGCTTGCTCCTGGCCTGCCCGCCTCGGCGGTCAGCAACTCTGCTGCACAGGCTTGGGCTTGCCCCTGGATGCTGACCCCCCCCCACTCTGCAGCTTCGGTGCTTTGTCTCACACACCCTCTGGAAATACTGCACCTCTGGCTTTTGTTGGTCGGGGCGGGGGGTACCCTGGCACTTTGTGCGACATCGTTAGTGACCACCACTCGATCATCACCACCCATGTCCTCTACTGAGCATTTTCCAAATGTTCTTCTGTTCAGTTTCTGGAAGCCTTGAACAGTGTGTTGTCCTTTGAGTACAAAGAACATGTTCTAGATCTTTCCAGTATGGCTTTTCATTGGTGACAGCTCCCCTTGAGCCTGGGTCTCACATATTTGAAATCTGTGGACAGCTTCTGCCCATGGAACAGATAAGGGTGAACTGACTTCTGACATTCCAGCTGGTCGGTCAGCTACCATAACTCAGCCTGTCGAGCCAATCGAGTGATTTGCTGGATGCTTTTGAACAGGCCACCATCTGCTTTTCTCTCTGTGGGTGTGTATTTTATTCGACAGCCTGGCCTATCATCAAAACAACATTGTTGATCTCATTGGGATTTTCTTGTGTTTTTTAAAAAGACTTTACTAAAGGCCATTAGAGAGCAGTATCACACTGCAGCTGCAGCTGCCCAGGAAGGAGCCCCTGGGAGGCTGTTGGTACTGGCTGAGGTACACCAGGTACCTCCATCTTGCCCCACTCTGCTCCAGGTGGGAGCGGTCAGCAGCATCTTCCCTCTGGGATGGACAGAGCTCAGGGGTCCACCGGGCCATTTAGCTCCTGGGTCCCTGGGCAGCACAATGCCTCCTTTGCTGCCTGGGGTGTCTAGAAGATGCTGTAGCTGGGCCCTGGCTGCACAGCCCTGCTATAGATCGGAAAGGGCAGAGGGAGACAGCAGTAGGTGAAACACCCTTCTTAGGCAGTATCCTTGTGCTCTTAAATCTAGCGTGTGGATGCCAGTCCAGTGCTGAGCAGGGGCCGGCAGACCCAGAGCTCCCGGATGTGTCATCACTCCCGTCAGCACTGATGGCCTGTCACTTACCTGTCCTGTCTGCCACAGTACAGGGATGGGTGTGGCTTGGCTGAAATCTTACCTGGGTGGAATATTCTTAGCTAAAAGCAAAAAATAATGTTCATTTCACAATTTGCTGGCTGTTTTGGTTGCTAAATCCCCATGCCATGTGTTCAGATGTTACAAAATGGTTGATGTTCTCTCCTCTACTTCCCAGAAGATGGGGGAGGGCTGGGGTGGGTAGACAACACTTTTCCATTGCGTTCATCCACATGGCTCCTCCCAGGAGTGCAGTGCAGGGTTTAATGGATTCTCTTCGGCACTGTCTGGGAAAGCTGAGCTGGAGGAAAGGTTGGAAGTAGGGTTAGCTCCACCCGAGCCGGGCCTGACCTGGGTTGCTTGCATGCCGGTGCCCAGTGGATGCAATGGTTCGCGCTTCTTTAGCTCACCAGCTGTGCTCTTGCACCAAGGAACTGAGCAGACAAGACCTAGATTTTTCTGAGCCCTGTCATTGCGCACGTGTGTGTTCCAATTAAGGACTTCTAGGGACCAGAAGCTCACTCACGCTAAATCTAGCAAAAGTGCTAGTGAGGAAATAAAGGGGAGGGCTAAGAGAGCTGAAGGTAGAGTTAGGTGAGCCTTAATGGGGGCTGGAGCTGGGCGTGCACCCCTTTCTCTCCTGTCCCTTTCCCCCGGAGCCCTCCTTTTGCCCTTTCTTCCCCATAAGTTGATTTCAGTCTCCTTAGAGTCCACATTGATCATTAGCACCCTCAAAGTCTGTTTCTGCCCGGAGTTCGGCCTGCCCCCGGTGACCCTGGAGACACCCATGTACATGACATTCCTCTGGCAGCTGCAGCCTCCCAGACAGCTTTGTCCGCTCATGGTGTCCTGATTCCAGATTCCCGGGAGTTGTTGCTGATGCCTGGTGTTGCTCTGGACAGTCCTCAGCTGAGGCCCCAACCCCTGGACGGCCCTGCTCAGGGCCCCCGAGCTGGCTGCTTTGCCTTGCTGTTCCTCAGCTCCGTACGTGAGGACACCACATCGGCCGCCTGTGCTTGCTCACCTGCTGGCGTTTGTCTTCTGTGCAGGAAGCAATGCCTGCGTGTCCAGGCCCTGCAGCCTGCTGTGCCTGCCCAAGGCCAACAACAGTAAAAGCTGCCGGTGTCCAGAGGGCGTGTCCAGCAGCGTCCTCCCATCCGGGGACCTGATGTGTGAGTGCCCACAGGGCTACCAGCTGAAGAACAGTACCTGTGTCAAAGAAGGTGCGTCCATTTCTGTTCCCTGTCTGTGGAAGGCCTCTCCCCTTCCATCCTCCTCTCTCCCAAAACTCTGTTCCTTATGTTCTGGGCTCCTGAAAATACACTCGTCCAGGCCCTTGCCTATGGTACTTCACTCCTCATCCAGGGCAGGCAAAGTTGCTTGTTTAAAAATGACAGCTGTGCCTCTAGCCTCATGTCAGGTGACACAGGCATTTCTCGGGGGCCTCTTCTTCCTTTCCTTCCCCCTTTTCTCCCCTCTCCCCTCTCTTCTTCGCCCTGCCCTTCTCTGTGATCACCCCACCTGGAGTTTCTCCAGCCTCTCCTGCTTGTATGTGGGGCCTGCGTCACTGGGCACAGGCCTCACGTACAAGCATGTGGGCCTCACAGTCCACTGGGTCTATCCTAACGGTGTCCTCCACTCTTTCCCTCAGCCCAGTAATCTCTGGAACCACAAGACCTTTGTTGCAAAGGGCTCTGATCTTGACTTCTGAGCTGTGCCTGAGGCTGTGACAACCTCTCCCCTCTCCTGCTTTAATTTAAATACATAGATGTTAACATTTTCTCTGCAGACCTGTTTGGTCTTTCTTCCCTGTCTCACTTTGACCCTTCCCACTTGCCCAAGCCCTGGCTTCATGTGTCTGTCAGCTGGATGAGCCCTACCAGGGGGCCTTGCCACTCCGTGCCCAGGGGGTGGCTGCCATTCCTGCTTTCCACCTTCTTCTCAAGGTTGCATTTGCCCGGTAATCTTAACCTCCCTCCTCGGGGCAGCGTGGCGTCCCTGCAGTGAGGTGCAACGCAGCCGTCTGCCTCTCTTTCTTCCACAATCCAAATGGAGAAAGCCAAGCTGCTGTCCTTTCTCAGACACAGGAGACTGTCTTTCAGACTTTGCACTTTGTATCTTGAAGTGCTTGGAGAGTAACAGGGTTAACACTAAATTCCAGAAAGGAGGAGGAGAGCTTTTCTTTCATTCCCTTTGGCAGCTTTTGATTCTCCAAACAACGGGCTTGCATCCAGTGTTCTTCACCCAGTATACAAACATGAGGAATTGGAACTGGTTGCTTTAAAGTAGTCATGGAGTAGAGGGGAAAAAAATCCAACAAGTCCATAAAGAAAAGCTTCCAAACCCGCTGGGTTGGCGAATTGAATATTCATGAACTGATCCGCACACACACTGAGTGTATGTTTGAGTACTCTGCACACAGTCCATTATGGAGTTCCTTGTGTAATTAGCATTTTATAACATTGATGTTGCTGCCTCTATCTGCTAGACCCAACTGGCACCACCACTCTTTTGTTCATCCTTGTAACTCCCTCTAAACACTCCTCTAGTCTGCCTCTGCCCGTCATTTTGATAAAAAGGGACCGAAAGCCGCTCTCCCTGCTCCCCTCTGTGTGGGCACCCCTCGTTTCTGCCATCGGAAGCCGTTACTTAAGGCAGAGCGATGGAAAGGAAGGGCATGAGGTCCCACCGTGCAAATAACCCTGGTTCCACCCCCCTTTCCTCCCACGACAGAGAACACCTGTCTTCGCAACCAGTACCGCTGCAGCAACGGGAACTGTATCAACAGCATCTGGTGGTGTGACTTTGACAACGACTGTGGGGACATGAGCGACGAGAGAGACTGCCGTGAGCCCTCTGGCTTGGTTTTGGGGGTGGCAAGCACTTACCATGGAGGCTGGTCAGCCCTGCCTGGGGGGGGGGTGTTGGCTGGTGGGCCCCTCCTGATCACTGGTGCCTAATACAATGGATGGGGCTTGGAGAACAGAGAACCTGTTTTCCCACACATTTAGTTATTTTATTTAAGCATCCTGGGGTGCAGTGGGGGGAACTGTGCTGATTTGATGGTGGCCCTGCCGCTGTCCGAGGCTGGTGACCTGGGCCAGATGGCCGGGCGACTTTGCATGAGTTGTAAATTCAGCCTTTTCCGAGATGGAGACAGGTTTTGCCTTAGACGCCTGCCTGGCTCACGAGAGAGTGTTCTCATTGAACGGTAATGCCGATTTTGCCCTAGAATGCTGGGGTATGTGTGTAAAAGCCATCTTTGGAGACTGTCACATCTAAAGGTCTGACTGCTAGAGCGTAGGACCTGGCTCATCAGGGTTCAGACACAGCGATTTGTAACGGCCGATTCATTCACCACCTTCTGGCTGTCTTTTCAGTTATTTTTAACAGCTTCGACATCATCTTATTAAGGAGGTGCCCTGCTTGTTCAGCTTCTGTCTTCACTCAGCAAGTGTTTGGGGCCCTGAGTTCTGCCATTGCACTGGCCCGGACATAGTCTGGGGCCTGAGGGGGACACAGGTTTTCAGTCTGAGGGGGCAGCGCCACGTGCAGACATGAGGGGCACCCAAACCAGATGTGGTCGGCCCCCCTGAACACTCAGGGTGTGCAGAGGTGAACTGAGCAGAGTCCTGGGCCAGAGAGCAGCATGTTTAAAGGCCAGAGGTCAGCGTGGATGTGGCCTGGTCAGGAAGGGGTGTGAATGTCCAGACCTGAATGGGGAGCTGTGGGGGCAGGCGGGCAGGGCCAGAGCCCCACGGGCCTGTGTGCCTTATGAGAAGAGCAGTTGGGGAGCTTTTGAAGTGACTTTTTGCCCTTGGGAAGGCAGCAGTGTGCAGAAGGCAGGAGAGGGGAGAATCCTAGAACCTGAAGTTAAAACCAGTTTGATGTCTCCTCTTTCCAGCATTTTACATTTGGAAGCCAGAAACTCCTTTACCATTTTGTGCTGTGAGAACTGGTTTGTGGGTGACCCGCATGCTCTCTTGGGGGCCTGTCAAACCGGTTAGCTGCTGCCTGGGCCAGGTCCCCATGCCACTCCCCCCAGAATGCAACTTCCAAAGCAGTCCACTTCCCAAATTCCTCTAGGCCCTGCGGGCCTTGTGCTGCCCATTCCGGCTGATGGGGGGTGACCCGTCAAACCTTAATTCTGTTGCCTTCTCTTCGGTGGCCGCCTTTCCAGGCCAGAGGAGAAGAGCTTACCAAATGGGCAGCTTTGGGAAAACAGACTGTTTCCCCTTTTTGCAAAAGGGACACTGAGAAACATTCAGTCCCCCCCAAGAAGGAGTGGTATTTGGGGGAGGAGGATAACCAGAGCTCTCTAAACAATTACTATATAAATTTAATAACATTGGCGCAGATTATGGCAAGGAGGCTTAGACTGGACACCTTAGGGCAAAATCGCTCAGGCATGATTGGGCAGAGTGGAAGCAGGGAGAGATAGACGAGGTGACTCACGCTCGGCCGCTCGGAGGTTCTCCTTTGATCTCCGGGCTTTGGCTTCTATGGAAGGACTGGCAACTGTGCGGTCTCAGCGATGGGAGAGAAAATTCTCCCTCCATCTTGAGCCACCCACCCTGCTGCCAGCTTGTCGACCATCTAACAGCGTTTACGCTGCTCTCAGCATTAAGTGTGGATCTGCCTGGCCTCCTCTGGTTTCCTGGGAATGTCAGTGGGGATCGACCTTTCTGAGACTGAAGTTGCTGTCTGCTTTGCTCTCATAACTCCACACGGCTCTGGTGGGGCAGAGGCGAGGGACACTGGGCGAAGACATGGAGCTGGGCACTGAGAGTGTGATGCTCTCTCTGCCTTCCTGGGCACGGGGTCAGTGTGCCCTGGCCCAGGGAAGCTGTGTGTGGCATGACGGTGGCACTGGGCCCAGAGAGGACCAGGCTGAGCCTGGGCACTGCTGTTGGGAAGTTACATGTGGCATCCCTTCAGCTGCCAGGGAAGAAGGCAAGGGGTGGTGATGTTGTCAGCCAGTTCCCTTCCTGTTCAGCGGAATCCAGTGCTGGGTAGTTGTCAGGCACTCGGGATTTTGACGTGAATCCCCTGCAGTCTTGTCATCTCTGCATTCATCCCCTGCCTCCCACCTTAGCTCAATTACATGGAAGAAACGGAGCCTCAAATAAGGGCTGCTGGGGCTGTGTAACCACAGTGTTGCCACTGGCTCTTCCTTCCCCAGCACACCCCCTCCCTCCCAGAATTCTCTCCTGCCAAGTCCTAGCTTAGACAGCAGCTACCCTAGAGAGCAGTCTTCCTTCCCAAAACCTTTCCAGGAGTGGCTTTAGCTGGCTTCTCAGGTGGGTGCGTCACCCTACCCAGTCTGTACCTGGAAGAGGGAGAGGAATCTCATTCTGAGCACATCGTGATGCCAGAAGGCAGGGGGATGATGAGGAAGAGAAGCGAGGTTTGTTCCATGCCTGGTATACTCACCTTGATTTCGTAGGCTCTTGACTTGTTTTCTTTACCTTGATGCTGCTGTTGAAGGTTGGGTTGAGTAGGTATCGGGATCCACATCTTGCTAGCGTAGTTATTACAACACTTGGCTGCATTACCTGATCCTCCTTTCATGGTGGAGAAGCAGCCTGGGCGTGTTAAAGCTGACTGCTCAGGGCCGAGTCTGAGCTGAGCTTGCAGCCCCGTCATGCTGAGCACAGTTCCAGCTGCAGAGTTCCTCCTGCTCGCTGTGGGGATTGAGTGCCAGCTCCTATGTGCAGCTGGGCTTGCTAGTGGTAGTCTTCCAGGTGAAGTTGTTTCTGCCACATCTTTAGGAAGACACGCTGGCATCCAGGGAAATCTTTGGGGCTGAGTACCCCCCTTTCAGCTCCCCACTCCTCACAGAGTTCAGTGCTTCACTTCTTGCTGGGCTTAAATCCCACCTGGAAACTGTCCATGGAGAGAGAGGTCCGATTCCTCTGGTTGTCAGTTTCAGGTTTTCCTGCATTTTCCCCAATGATGTTTTTTGTATTCTTGTTGCTACAAGAAACTAAAACCTGCTTCCTTCTCTTTTTAAACTGGTTTTCAATGGATGTTTGTGCTCGGGGTGTTAACGTGACCTATCTCTCTTCCACTTTAGCCACAACCATCTGTGACCTGGACACACAGTTCCGTTGCCAGGAGTCCGGGACCTGTATCCCCCTCTCCTACAAGTGTGACCTTGAGGATGACTGTGGAGATAATAGTGATGAAAGCCACTGTGGTAAGGGCGCCCCATTTCCAGGAGCACTGTTCCAAAGTGGGGAGACAGCACCTTTGTTCCTGGGCCTGTACACGAGTGGGTTGGAGTGGAGTATGTGTTTTCCTTCACAAAGCAGATGGCCCGCCTTACTCTGCGGCCATGTCACAGACGTGAGCCATGGACTGTCTAAGTGAATCAGGCGGTTAGCAACAGCAGTGCGATGTGGTGTGGGCTCCAATGGCTTTTCGCTCCCTGAAGATTTGACTCTCTTTGCACCTTTGTGAACTGGTTTTTTTTTTTTTTTAATGACCAATCTCATTCAATAAACTATTAGAAGTCTGCAGATGGCACCGGCAGGGATCAAGCATCTGTTTTCTGAATGGGAAATTTTATACTTAGAAAAATAGTGGGCTGGACTGGAAAGGGTAGCGGGGTCCTCTGGTTCAGCCCTTTGACTTTCCAGATGCACTGATGAGTGCTCGGGACCTCATTCAGGGTGACATAGTCTGTGTCCCGGTGGGAACTGGAGCCCCTGTTTCCCATGTCCAGCCCTGTGTGGTTGCACAACCCAGTCCCAGCAGTTCTGTGTGGTCTGCTGGTCCCAAGCACTTCGCTGCCACCCACTGAAAGAGGAAGTGTGTGTGTGGTGCTCCCGATTTGAGAGATCCCTGAAGGGGAAGTGAGAGAGGAGGCCAGACGCTGACCTAGACATGGTGATCTGGCTGGATGCGCTGGCGGTCCAGGGGTTCAGGGGTCAGTCCTGCTGAGCTGACAAAGACTCAAAGCATCCTCAGATGGGGCTGAGATAAGGGAGCAGAGCAAATGGCTGGTGGCTTGGAATTCAGGGGAGTTTTTTCAGGGGGAGTTAGACACTGTTCTTCATTGTGTAAAAAAAGGAGGAAAAAGAAAAAGAAGTACCCGTTCCCCCCCCCCCCAGCACACAGAGGGTTAAAGCACACAGCTACTTTAGCTTTAGTGGGAAGGACAGGGCACAGGGGCTCTTTTTGGTGTTAGTTTGCTCCCCCTGCTCCTCTTGTGACCCCATCACAACAGTGTATTCCAGATCCACCCCAGGTCTCCGTGCCCCTTCCTCAGATCCAGGCCCTCCTTAAGTCCTCAGACTGATTGTCCCTCATTACCCGAATCACCAGCCTCCCCATTAGCCGGGCTCTTGGGCCTGGGCGAAGCAGCCAGGGTGGTCACACGGGCTCTAGGCTTAGCTTTCTTCTGTTTTAACGGAAGCTTAAAAAATGGGTGCGGAACTTCTGTTCTCATGCTATCCCCAGGGCCCACAAAAGACCTTGCCAGCATTGCCTCTTTTAACCTCTTCGACTGGCCTTCTCCTCTGCTCCAGGTCTCCACTCTCTCACGTGCCGCCCACAGCCCCCTCCCCCCGCTCTGCAGGTGCTGCACCTGCGGAAAGTCCCCAGCTTATGCAGCTCCTGTTTGGAAACTCAGCACGGATGGGTCTGCACACTGGGGCTTCACTGTGGTCCTTTACTAAGACCACACTCTTGTTTCTCTAAGTCTTCTGTTTCTTGCACATTTCATTTCTGGACGCCTGGAGCATTGGTTCTCAGTCTCCTCCCATCGTAGTAAGCACAGGCAGTGATGAGTCTTGAGAAGTGCACCCATTTAAATGAACAAGGCTGCTCCTGCCTAGAAGCAGCCAGTTGGGAGAGCATGAGGGTGTCGTGTCCCAGCTCTGTCACCTAGCTGCACACTGGCTGGAACTTCCCTGAGGCCCTTGCCTGGTTAGGAGCTTTTCAGCCCCACCATCTGCGGACAGTCAGTGGCAATGGGGTTGTGGGTGCCTCTCCAACCCTTGGGAGACTGACACCAGGGACAGAATTCTGCCTTCACAGCTGTCTGTGGTCTCACCTGCAGAAATGCACCAGTGCCGCAGCGATGAATACAACTGCAGCTCTGGCATGTGCATCCGCTCCTCCTGGGTGTGTGACGGGGACAATGACTGCAGGGACTGGTCGGACGAAGCCAACTGCACGGGTCAGTATTTCTGGGCTTCACTTCGTAGTGCTCGTCTGTTCATATGCTGGTTGGCGTTGAAGTTTGTAAGAGCTTGGACTCCAGGCTCTAGGAATTAGCTGGACCTTTAGAAATGAACTAGTTTCATCTAAAAAGTTGGTTTATGCTAACCTTGCGATGCCAGGATGGAAGGCAATACCCTGCTTCTTCCCTTCTGCCACCAGAAGATGGTTAGCTGAACTAAGTAGTGTCCTGAGTGATAATTGATGGACATTCTGGCTCAGGACCACAAATAAACAGTTTACAGATTCACTCTAATCTGAGGACCATAGTTTGAGTAGCACAGACCTAGCTCATGTTTTCAAATGGAACATCAGGGGTTCTCTGAACAGTGAAAAAAACTGCTTGCATCTGTTTGGGGTACACTTTCAGTAAGAATAAGGCTGGAAACATGAACACATGAGAGGAACACTAAGTTGTGTAAGGTAGAGACAACTTTCTATTCTCCCAGGCTTTGAGTTTACTCCAGTGCATTACATTGTGTTTTTTATTTTTCTCATGTAAATTTAAGAAAGAATGGGGGTCATGTACCTGTAGTGGAGTGCGGGAGAGAAAGGAGTTGGGGGAAATTGTAGAGGAATGAAAATTTTTTTCTATGCGGTAAGTACATTTTCTGAAGTTTCAGTTGTACCTTAAATCATCCCAGTGATGAAGATAAAGCGGTTTCCTTTGATCATGTTTACAGTCTGGGCAGACCTGCTTTTACACCCTCACCCTTCAGCCTTTCTACAACTCTTCATTAACGAGTCAGACTCCTCAGTCGTCTAGTGTGGGTCATTACCCCGGTGAACTAATGGAGTGACTTTTTTTATTTGCTACTTTCTCTGGTCTCGTTTTTAGCAATTGCATGTGGCCATTTGTTGGACTGGTTCATTCTGTTCATCCCTCTGGTTTTGATGTTTGTGGTCCGTAAGTCTCTGCTAGAATCTGAGCTACTTCCTCAGACTCCTCCTCCAGTTCAACAGGTCTCTTTTCAGCTGACTCTAATCTCCTGTTTCACATATCCACTGAGCTATTTTTATTTCCATGCCTGTATTTTAAAAATACAGGTTTCCTGTTTGGTTCTTTCAACTCTGCCATTTTGTCATTAATTGTTCAAACTGTTTATTAATATGCTTTCTCCTTTATGCATTTCTTAGTAGTGCAGTGCTTTGCAACAGAGGTAGTGCTGCCCTCATCATTGTAACTAATTCATCTTTTCCTCCCCATTTTTATTTGCTTAAGGTTTTTTGATCAGGTTTACAAAGGGTCTTGCTGAGTTGGGAAAGATCGAGTCAGAGTAAGTTGTAGGATAGTAGCCTTTATTAGAAATCCCGATATTCTAATTCATGACCATTTACTCCGTTAGAACTACCATTCTTAGAAAGTCAGTGCATCACGCTATGCTTCACATTCATTTACTTTCCTCAGTCCTTTAGTCTCGATTAAAATTAACCTCTTCCATCTTTGTAATTAAAATCCTTAAAACTTTTATTGAGCATGTATTTACTGTCAGAGAACTAATAAGTTACTCAGAAGACAGAAAAATCCAGAAAGAGGATGTGTTAAGTATTCCCATCACACCTGGCCACTTGAAGGAAATTCTGAAAACTGATTAGTCTTCTAATTCTGAAAACTGATTAGTGGTAGAGTCTGGAATTCTACATGCCTCCCAGAATTACCATTTGGAGACTCCATTAGCACTCTGAAATTGTTTTCAATTAAAAATCATATGCATAAGCTGAATAATAAGTAGATCACTATGGCAGTAAATTTAAGCAGTGTTGTATTTTATGAAAATGAGCAAGGCTTTGGTGAGGAATTCAAAGTACTATCAGCCTTGGGAAGCCAATAAATCAAAAGTATTGTAGGCAATGACTGTTTACTGGAGCAAAAGCTCATATAATATGCACGATACTTACTCCTCTTCTTCAGAGGTGAGTATGTTATAAAAGATATTTAATGGATTCCAAATGCCAGGGCTTGTAAAATGTTGAAATTTCCTGCAGGCTTGTCTGTATGCTACCAAGTATAGTCTTGGTCTTTGGAGAGATAGGACATAATGACCCATCACTTGTTTTAAAGTGGTTTGAAAAATCAGGTTCTTTGTATTTCAGACTTTTGCAAAAAATAGCCTCAAATTCAGTAGAAATTTAGAAGGCATTGTAAGTCAATTTTGCCAGCCCTTGACTAACTTATTTCCAACTATCTCGATTAAATAAATAAGTATAGTTTGCACTCAATGACCCAAGATTGTTTGTTTAGCCTCCTTTATTATGAAGACAGCCTCACCACACAGTTAAACCAACAGAGTCCATCTATCATGGCTATATTATTTTATGCTTGTTATAAACAAGACTGGTCCTGGCTTTCATTCAGCAGCAAACAGACACAGATAGCTTTCTGTTTGGGAGGAGGAAGGGGGGAATCTGATGGGATAAGATGGTTGGTAATGTTGGCTGAATTCAAGGCAGATACACAACTGAACTCGTCTCTGACTGCTGTTTTGAGATGCTTCTCAGTGAGTTCCAGGCAGCCCCGGCTCATATGTGCAAATGAGGCCATTCATTTATAACAATGCCTTTCTGTTTCACCAGCCTCTCTTTCCTCTTAATGACAACAGTAGACACAAAGTGTTGTTAGCGGCTGGTGGCTACTCTTAACTGTCCAGAAAATTTGCCAGCCCTTGACTAGCTTATTTCCAACTATCTCGATTGAATAAATAACTATAGTTTGCACTCAATGACCCAAGTTTGTTTGTTTAGCCTCCTTTATTATGACGCTTCTCGCTTTTGCTTTCTTTGCCATGTTGGGTAAATCTTTCATGCTCTCATGGGCCTGAGATTTTCCACACTTGAAACTGGGTAGTTCATTAGAAACTATAAAGCCACGGTCTTTCAGGACTCCCAAGGGCCCTAGGTACCGATATGTAGACGAAGAAATAGAGGGCCCCAAGCAATTCCCCTACCTCCTGAGCGTTGGGAGGAGCGAGAGGATTTATATGAGCGGATAAATGAGCAATACAGAAAAAAAAATCGACACTGGTGCTATTATCTTTGTCACTGTGGCCAACTTTAACCCTTGACGTTTATTTCTCATCTCTAAAAGGGCAGGAAGGGGTGGGAATAACCCTTAAGGGAGGCATAACCCTTACCTCATAGCTTTTGTGAAAAATGAGTGAGTTTTAAACAGGTCTATCTGGGCTGGTGTGGCTTTTCCCTCAGCCTCCAGTCACTGTCCTTTGGGGGTGGGCAGCTACCCCCTTTCTTGGGTCGGCCCCTGGTGCTGGCCTGCTGATGGAGGAGAAGCTTCCGCCTCCTGCTCAGGGCCTGTTTCCTGAGCTGCTTTCAGTCAGCACCTTGCTGGCTGCCGACTTGGGAGGCGAGGAGCTGACAGTCTCTCTCCTCTCCTTTGCCACAGCCATCTACCACACCTGCGAGGCCTCAAACTTCCAGTGCCGCAACGGTCACTGCATCCCCCAGCGGTGGGCGTGTGATGGCGACATGGACTGCCAGGACGGCTCTGACGAGGATCCCGTCAACTGTGGTAAGCCCAGCTGCTTCACCCCACACCCCCGGCTTCTCCAGTGTCTGGTACTCAGGAAAAAAGGCCACCTGAAACAGAAAATGAGGGTCTGTTCCCAGAGCCCACACCCGCACTGGCATCTCAGCAAGCCCCCACCTGCCGTAGCATTGCCAGTGTTCGTTCTCAGACCAGCTGTTTGCCTCTCTGCTTTTCCATAACAGCTTTGGAGAACAGAAATAGAGAAAGCAGAAGGCAGTCGTGCTAGGTGTTCTCTGAGAAGGCAGCCACTGGTCTTGTTAAGGGGAAGGATGTCCTAAAGGAACTCTGCAGAGTCTTTGGGACTCCACCCCCTACTCCAGCTTTCTGGACCCTAAATCCTACTCCAGTGATTGGAAACTACAACTCCCAGCAGTACCAGGGAGAGAACTGAGAGGACCCAAGGGCGGAGCTAGCAGGAATTCTGGGACATTTGGGGGATAAATAGGGCGTGGTTGCATTTCACACACTCTCTAGCTCGGGAAGCAGCTCTCCAGACCGTGTGACTTGGTGTCTTCAGTCAGCCTAGCTGTAAGGTATTCCAGTTACTTTGTATTCCGCTCTCTTTCCCTAGGTTGTTTCCTATTCCTTTCCCCTTTTGTAAATAAACCCGTTACTGACCCTTTTGTGTGTCCCTGCAGTGTAACCAAATTGTGAGCATGTGAGTGAGGCCCCATAGACAGGCGGCCCAGTCCACTCTGGGCCACCCTGGAACAGTCTTAGTGGAAATAGCAGGTTTAGGATGAAGCTCTCCGTCCTTTGCGAAAACAGCTCGATATTCCTATAGGGGAAAAAAAAGGCTTTCAGTGAAATGGGGTTAAATGTTGGTGCTCATTAGTGACCCTTAGAATAAACACTAAGCAGCCCCCAAATAGCTGACACACAAACTATGTAAAATACATTTTTAAGGTCAGAATTTTGAAGGTTCTCTATTCTTATCCTTGTGCCATCTCTGTAGGGAAAACTCCACCTGTGTGTCTCCTCTGGTGTTAAGGTTTCATCTCATGGAATACTCATGACACTTCTGGTCACCAAATTGTGTTTTCTATCCCAAGCAATTCTCTGAAGCCTGCTCTCTGTCCTACAGTTGAGCTTACTGCCTGGGGATAGTGTCCCCCACAAGTTAAGGGCTCAACCCTACACGATTCCACTCCCCCAACCCTCCTCATCTGCCAGTCCCAAGTTGTCGTCTGTACTTCTGACAGAGAGGCTATGCACTGGGATCCCCACACCCCTAGGCTTGGATGATTTGCTGGAACACTCCACAGAACTGGGAAACACGGTGCTGTTTAGTCATAAAAGGACAGGATAAAGGATAGAGGAGGACATCTAGGGGAAAGAGACGTGTAGGGCGGGGCACAGGTAAGGGTGTGGGACTTCCATGCCTTCTTCAGACTTGTCTCCTGCCCAGCACCTCAAAGTGTTCAGCAGCTTGGAAGTTCTTGGGACCCTGCACTTCAGGGGCTTCTGTGGAGGCTTCATTCCCTAGACTTGACCAGTCATTTACTGGAGGATAGAGGGCATGGGAGGAGGCTGGTTAAGTTCCAAGCACCTGTTGTGTCTTGATATTACTTTTGGGAGACCAGCTCCCCCTCCTGAAACCCTTCTGGGCCCCACTAAGAATGACCTCATTTGAACAAACACACTTCCGTCGTACTGGAAGCTATAATATTTTAGGGGATCTTTGTCAGGCACCACACACACACACACACACACACACACACACACACACACACACACTTCTATTTTATTTTCTCTTTTACACCATCCGTCCCGAGTTGCCATGGCTTGGTCATCAGTGTTTTGTGCCTATAAATCCTCCTCCTTATGCATGCTAATATTAGAGATACCTCAGTGTGGCTGTGTTTTCCATAGTTACCATTTCTCAGGCACCTGCATGTTCGCTCCTGGTGACGGTTACTTTGTTCACGTTCTCATTCCCTGGTTATACCTTGGACAGTTTTGAGCTATGCATGGTTCTCTATGGGAAGTCTCCCTGCCCTCAGAAAGGAAGCCTGCTCTCCATGAAGGTCCTTCTGATTTCGGCATGCTCCTCAGAGGAACTGCTGGTCGAAGGTTCTGCTCTCCTCTCTGATCTATGGTCTGTCTCCTCCGAGTCTCCCTTGACAATGCATTTTGACTTTTTAGCTGTTTCCCTCTTTAATAAGTTGGAATTTGTCTCATGTCATTTTGATCCATTCTTTTAAACAGCGTCTCCTGCTTAGTGACATGAGTGACAATTAGCCCCACCACGGTGCTTGTTTTGTTTTCTGCTCTTTAAATGACTTCCTTAGAATAGTGTCTCTTTCCAGGAGCACCGCGTATCCGCTGCCTTCCACCTGCCCTGTGGAGCTCTGCTAGTGACCCCGGGGCTTCCCCAGACTCTGCCCTGTGAGCCTGGCATCTGGAGCAGCTCTGTGTTCAGGGAAAGGGGGCCGCCTAGACCTGAGAACATGGCTCGAAGCATCAAGACACCTCAGTTGTAGTTCCCCTGGGACGAATTATGAAACCCCAGGCACTTAACATTTCCGGAGCGCTCTTTCCAAGGGAGCTTTGGTGTCGATTGCTTTAGATTAATCCCAATTCCTAGAAAATTAAGATGATGAGTGATTTTGGAGAGAACTTGAAAAAAAAAAAAAACCCAGGGTTTCATAATAATGAGTCATGTCCTCCTTTTTTTCTATTCATTGAAGCTTTCCTTAAAAAATATTTAATTTGGGCCCTCCCTGGTGGCGCAGGGGGTTGGAGCACAGCACTGAGAATCTGGGGCCGCTTCTGCATGGGTTCGATTCCCGCCTGCCCCGGTGGTGACCACGTGGCGTGGCAGACCTCTCCTAGCCCGCCCGCTGCTCCCCTCAGCACTGTGCTTCGTCGATCTGCCTGTTCTGTTCCCCACTCTGTCTCCGGCGAAGCCTCTCACCACCCCTGAGTCTCTGGCCTGCACCCCAGTTCTGTATGCACAAATAAATATTTAACAAAAGAGAAAAAAAAATTTAATTTTTTGAGTAGGTAACACATTCACATGGTTAAAAATGGAAAAGTATACACAAGCATACACTAAGGGATTTTTGCCTGTCTGCCCAGTTCTTATCCTGTGTCCAGAGAAAGAAGATCTTGGTCCACATATGTACACATTTCTTTTTATTTTTTATTTGTAGCCTTTCATGAACTTCCTCCAGGTGGCTTCAAGCTGGAGGCGCAGGACCTCTCCTCCACACATACCCCCTTAATCTCTTCCTCGCCTCTTGTGCTGAATCTGCCCTTCACAGTCACACGCTGCTGTGGGAGTCTTTCCTTCCCCGGGAACTCTGGAGAAGCCTGATTGCACCATATCAGTGCTAGGAGAGCCGCAGTCTTGCTTTCGGCAGCACCTACCTGAGTCTGCTCACAGATGGAGGCCCACCGTTTACCAAGACTGACAGATGGGGGAAGTGCATGCTAATGCCTCATCCCAGCTCTTCTAGAGCAAGCAGGGCGACACCTGTGGGCACTGACCCTGCCCGCCGGGGTCCCAGGCTCCCCCCCAACCATGCTTTCCCTGCTAACCAATGTGGCCGAGGCTGAGGTTCCTGTGGCCCCCAACTTTCCAGGTCTTGTTCTGTCTGGATGGTATGTCGGTGGCTAGATGAGTCAGTCAAGTTTTTTTTTTTTTTTTAAAGATTTATTATTTATACATACAGAACTGGGGTACAGGCCAGAGGCTCAGGGGTGGTGAGAGGAGAGCCAGAAACAGAGTGGGGAGCAGAACAGGCCAACTGATGAAGTACACTGCTGAGGTGAGCAGCGGGCAGTCAGGAGAGGTCTGCTGCGCCATGTGGTCACCTCCGGGGCAGGCGGGGATCGAACTCATGCGCAAGTGGCTTAAGCTTCTTAGTGCTGTGCTTTAACCCACTGTGCCACCAGGGAGGGCCCAGATGAGTCAAATTTTAATGTATTTCTTGTCCTGTTTTGCAGTCTGCTAAGCATGTTGTCTTTCCTCTCATTTTTTCACTCTACCTGGTGCTCGCTGTCATGTTGCACTTGCAGAGTCCACTAAAGATCCCCCACACCCCACCTCGGTGGATATGTGGGAGGTTTCAATCTGTGACAGACAGGATGCAATGACTAGCCGCCTTCTTCAGTTATTTTTCACATGTGTTAGTACATTTCTAGAGTTTGCACGGCTGGGTCAACTTCCACTTACGTTTGCGACCTTGCGAGGCTGTCTCGGGCGGCCTCCCTGGGAGTTTGCGTCCCCGCGGCCTCCTGTGCGGGCCCTGCCTTCTCTTGGTCATGGTCCCGCCCCTGAATTGCCTTTCAGAGAAGAAGTGCAATGGCTTCCGCTGTCCGAATGGCACCTGCATCCCGTCCAGCAAGCACTGTGATGGTCTGCGGGACTGCTCGGACGGCTCTGACGAGCAGCACTGCGGTGAGTCCCCTCCTGCCCGGCCAGCACCTGAAGCCCGCAGGAGATGAGCATGTTATAGGCCAGGTCCGTTCACTTCCTCCTCCCCTGCCGGTGGCTTGCTGTTGACCAAGTTGGCCCTGAGCGCTGTGCCAGGGCTCTTAAAGGCAGAAAGTGGCAGGAGAGGGGTTGTGGATGGAGAACAGGGAGGGCCGGGATGGGGTGAGTGTGGAATTGTTGACTGTATGTTCTGTGGATTGGCCAGAGGTTCTGAACCAGACACTAATTTCTTCTACTTTTTCAAATTCATTGGCGTTGTGGATTTTGGGGCATTTACCTTTTCACCCCCTCTTTGTCCCCACAGTTCTTTATACCCAGACAAGTTAGTTACCTTGGGCAGTGGATCTCTTCCTCTGAGTCACCTTGGATTCATTCGGAGAACTCTAAAGAATCGGGGTCTCACCTCCAGATATGCAGATTTAGTCTATAGTGACTCGGGTTTGAGGGGTGGCAAGTCCCTTGGATGAGCCTAACGTGCAGTTCAGGCTGAAGCCTGAGGACAGCCGGGGCTCTGGGGAGCCCAGCCCCGTGCAGGGGCCTTGAGCAGCCACCGCCTTGGCGTTGCGGACATCTCTGGCTCTTTGTGTGGAGCGACAGAACTGAGGATTGCTAGAGGCGGTGACTGCAAACCTGCAGCGTTTGCACGCTCACTGTATCTGCTGTGTGCACATACCGATTTGGTCTAAAGAGCTGGCCTGCGTGGTCACATGGGCTGGAAAATCCAAAATGTGCGAATTGGCCCGCAGACTGGAGAGCCAGGACACCCGATTTTTGCAGTCTAGACTCTGCAGGCTTCTCGCCGTGCTGTGTGCGTCTCTGCTGTGTTCTCCTCTTCTGAGAAGGACATTAGTCCTGTTGGCTCGGGGGCCCACTGAGGTGACTCACGGAAACGTAATCCTCTAAAGGCCCCATCTCCAAAGGGGAATTAGGGCATCACCATGTCAATTTGGGGACGGGGTATAATCAGTCTATGACCCTGGGCCTTGCTCGGAGCTTGCCAGCCCTGTATCAGTGGCCCAGTGTTGTTAAGAGCAGTGAAGCCCATGGGCTTCCTCGCCAGACTAGGCTCTGGCTCCATGCTTCATCACTGTGTGCACTCGGTAGGCAGTGTCTGGTGCCGTCACCCCGTGATCTCACTTTGATGCAGGACCTTCATAAAGTCAGCATTGTTTTGAGAGCTTAACGATGTTCTTCATGGCAAATGCTTTTACCTTGGTTTGCACACACACACTGGTCCCTGGCGTAGGGCACTGGCCCAATAGCCCTGGACACTCACCGCCCTCCCTCCTCACTGCACCCCTTTCAGAGCCCCTGTGTACACGCTTCATGGATTTCGTGTGCAAGAACCGCCAGCAGTGTCTGTTTCACACCATGGTGTGTGACGGGATCGTCCAGTGCCGGGACGGATCGGACGAAGACCCTGCGTTCGCGGGATGCTGTGAGTGGCTGGGGGTTGAGGGTAGCCTGGTGACTGAGGAAGCTGCTGGGGGTGGGGGCAGAGTGGACCCCCGGGGATGCACCCCCTCCCTCCTTCCCCCAGTTTACAGATCTTGACTGAGTGTGTTGCCTTGCCTTATTGGAGAAGGGCACACCTCTGCTTCAGAGACACTACTTCCTATCCACTGACGTGTGCAGAGAAAGCAGTAGCCCCCAGGCCTTGCTCCGGTGGTTTTCACAGCCTGGGTCCCCATTTTGCACACTTGTCACCTGTGTTTGACTCCCGTGTCCCACTGAGGGGATGGGAGACTGGTGCGAGCCGGGCTCTGTCTTGTTGGCTGCCTGGCCCCTTCCTCAAGCAGCGCCTGTGTGTGGTGGGTGCCGCATGAGTCTGGGAACGCCACAGCAGAGGACCACAGGCCGGGTGGTTTCAACAGCAGAAAGACACGCGGCTGCAGGGCCGAGGTCAGGGTGTCAGAGGGGTGGCTTCCTCGGAGGCGCCTCCCCTTGCTGGCAGACTGCCTTCTGCTGTTCCTCGTGCTCTGACAATACGGTCACCGGGGTCCTAACCTCCTTTGCTTATAAGTGCACCAGCTTCTGTTACACTCACGCCACCCCTTGACCTGCCTGAGACTCAGCTACCTCTCTGAAGCCCCTCGTGCACGGGCCTCCCTAGAGGGGCTGGGATTTGGGCTTCTGTATTTGACAGAACCTCGCGCTAGACAGGTGGGGGTGCTGGCCACTGTGGAGGCTTTGGGGAGAAGTGGCCAGGCTCTCAAGCACTTTGTTCCTTCTCTAGCCCAAGACCCAGAGTTCCACAAGGTTTGTGACGAGCTCAGCTTCCAGTGTCAGAATGGTGTGTGCATCAGTTTGATCTGGAAGTGCGACGGGATGGATGATTGTGGAGATTACTCCGACGAAGCCAACTGTGGTGAGACTCGGCTCTGCCCCCTTTCCTCTCCGTCTTCAGGGACACCTGCATTTGGGGTGCTCTCCAGCACACTCATGTGCAGACTTTGCTTCCCATCAGTGATGAGCCTAGTTCTAGAATCATCATGGAAGCTTCCTTGAAGTGGGAGCCCTGGCCCCCAGCAGGAGTTTGAGGGGCTCATTTCCTTGTTACTGAGCTGAGAAGTTCACCTGTATAAGGAAAACAGTCGATAAGGAATTATGGTGAATACCTTGGCATGTGCCCCCTCCCCTATAAGTTAGTGGTGAAGTGTCAAGCATGAAATGGGACCCCGAGGAGATGGGTTTTGTGGGTCCCAGAAGCTTATCTTTCTCTGCTGGGGCACAGAGGCTGCCTGGCATGTGGGCGTTGAGGAACTCTGTGGAATTGGAGCTCTCTGTTCACATTGGTGCAGGCGAGGCCTCTGATGGTGTGCTTGGTCTCCCCAGAAAACCCCACAGAAGCCCCGAACTGCTCCCGCTACTTCCAGTTCCAGTGTGAGAATGGCCACTGCATCCCCAACCGGTGGAAGTGTGACCGGGAGAACGACTGCGGGGACTGGTCGGACGAGAAGGACTGTGGAGGTGTGAGCTGGGCCTGGGCTCACTTCGGGACACTGTGCCCCCTCTCCCGGCCACACAGAACTCTGCTGTCTCAGTCAGGGATTTGGGGGTGAATAACCCTGGGCTCTCTCTGTTCCTTTCCCATTTTAAAAATTGGTGTCAGGTCTCCTGTGTCCAGGGTTATGCTGCTTGTATTTTGCCAAGCACAGTGGGCACTTGGGAGGCCTGGTTACCCTCCCCCCAGCCCCCTCCCCCGCTGTGATTTGCAGGCCAGCAGCAACCACATCTCAGGGCATGAGACCTGCCTTTTGGGTCCTGCCCTGCAAAAGCAGACTCATCCGAATATTAGCCCCCATCAAATGTGGCAGGGGAACAAAATTCCCCAAAAGGGGAAAGAATACAGTGACCCGGTACCTGGGTGTAAGTGGCTTTTAGCTGAACTGCTGGTCGCCCGGGGTTGGGGTGGCCGAAGCCAGCACACCTGCAGGCGATCGGGCGCCTCTGGCCGCCTCCTGCCTCTCGTGACACGCGGGGTGCTTGTCTGCTGTTTTCGCAGATTCGCATCTTCTCCCCTCCCCGACTCCTGCGCCTTCCACGTGCCAGCCCAATTACTACCGCTGCAGCAGCGGCTCCTGCGTGATGGACAGCTGGGTGTGTGATGGCTACCGGGACTGCTCCGATGGCTCGGACGAGGAAGCCTGCCCCTCGCCGCGTGAGTGGGCCCCGTGTTGCCCGGGACACCCGCCTTTGTGGAGAGGGCTTCTGGGGTGCTCCGTGGGCACAGCATGGCCAGGCTCAGTGCTGGCAGCCAACCGCCTCTCACTGCCCCTCCTCTTCCCCATCAGCGGGGAGACCCAGGGGCACTGGGAACCGGAGAGTCTCAGCTTCTCTAACTGCCCTCTGACCTTCCTGCAAAGAAGGCGAGCCCCTCCTGCTTTCCACCCCGACCGAGGTCAGGCCACCTTTGCTTCTTTCGCCACAGGAAATTACAGTGGGAATTATAAGGAGATGTTTGTGTGTGTGTTGAAAGCTCAGGGGAATTGCCCAATTTTTCAGTCTGCGAGTCTGGGCGCATCCTTCTGAAAGAAGGGTAAGCACTGCCATCTAGTGGCCAAGTATGGAGAAGCACCGGATGGTATGGAATTGTCAAAGGCAGGGTAGGCGAGGGACCCCACTGAGTATGGGGTGTGCTGGGGAACCCCCCCATGCTTACTAGCTGCGGGCTGCAAGAGGTAAGAAAGTGGTCTCCCTTCCTGAACAGAATTCTCTTTACAACTTTCTAGTTAGAAAGAGGTTATAGAAGAGGCTAGGTAATTGCTCAGTCCTTTTCCTCCTGTTGCTGTTTTCACCTGTCACTTTCCTGCCCGAAATGGATGGTTTCCTCTTGGCTTAAAATCCGGAAGGACGATCCTGACCTTTGAGTCCTGTTTCCAAGGCCCTGCGTGGGCTGATGCCTTCTTGCCTGCCTGTAGTTCTTATAACTGCCAAGCCGGGCTCTTCTGCTCTGCTCAGACCTGCTGCTTCTCTGCTTGCTCGCCTGTAGCAGGGATTCTGCCTTTCTTGGGGACTTGCTTTCCATGAAGCCCACTGCCCATCATAGGAAATAGAAGCATGCCTTTTATAGCTGTGGCACTAGTATTTTTCAGAGTATGTCACAAAGTCCCCCTGTAATGGGATTGACTTTGGGTATTTATGAAAAATGGAGAATGGGAATTTCTGGATGGAGTCCAGGAACACCCCATGTGATTTGTAGTTTAACTGAAGTTCACTGCTTTGAACAAGTAGGGTATTCTCCTCTCAGCCCCAGCGCCGGGGAACGCCCATTGAGTCCTTTAACTGATGTTGATTTGTTCTCCACTCTCATTGGACTTACCAATTGTTCTTTTGATTCGCAACTATGACCTGCCATATCTTCCCCATCATCCCACGGTGTCAGCCTTTTCTTCCATCATAATCATGCAGACTTCTTGTTCTGGGAGGGTCTGCGGACAGCTTAGAATCCACCACTGTGTCTACCCCAGTAACAGGCAAATAGACGGTGTCCCAAGTTAAACCGTGAAAAAGAAGCCGGTCTTTTAATATCTGCTCTGGCCCCCAAGGCTCATCTGTCTTCTCAGGGTCTTCATTGCCTGCTCCTAAGTTGTTTTTAGGCTACTGAAACTCTGGCCAGGACACTAATAAACTAGAAAACTCTGAATCCAGTAAACAGATGCCTACTTAGATACTGGGTCCAGCTTCTGTGACTTCTGTTTTTTGTATATTTTTGGTGCAAATGTACATTGTGTTGTTTCCAGCTCTCAGATGTTATTTTTTCAGTGTAAAAGTCTCCTAAGTGGCTTTCCTTCTCCTGCCATGTCCCTTCCAGATTTACCTCCCGCTTACTGATGCCTGAGCCCGCCCCTCCCCCTCCAGTGTCTCCTCCTTCCTCCCCCTTCCCTCCCCTCCCCTCCTCCTGGAACTTCTAACCTTGTTGTCTGAGCCTAGCACTGGGCTTCACCTTGACTTCACCTTGGCCTGGCGTACAAGCCTCATTTTTACCCCCTTTCCACCACTTGTTTTAGCAGTTTTTTAGAGGTTCCTGCAGATACCTGTTTGAGAATCCAGGTCACACTACAGGACTGACACGCTGTCCCTTCGTTAATGATTGCTCTCGTTCGCTCAGGTTGCTTGCCTGCATCTGCAGTGCTGCTGCCTTTGTCTTTGGTGGGGTCCTGCCAGGATAACGTCAAATCCCCATGTGTCACCCACCTGCCGGCTCTCTCCACCGTTCCCCTTTGTGGCTCATAAACCACCGACACCCCCCAACTCGTGGCTTGGGGGCTGTTGCTGGCCTGCTCCCTCAAGTCCACAGAGTGATATTAAAAATATTATTCTTCTAGCTAATGTCACCGCCACCTCCACTCCCACCCAGCTTGGGCAGTGTGACCGATTTGAGTTCGAGTGCCACCAGCCCAAGAAGTGTATCCCCAACTGGAAGCGCTGTGACGGCCATCGGGATTGCAGGGACGGCCAGGATGAGGACAACTGCCGTGAGTACCCGGGGATGAGGAGTGGGAGGCTGTAGCTCTTCCGACATGTGGGCCAGGTGTTGTCTTCGTGTATAGTGAGTGACAACCTGGGCTGCCATTATCCTTGGGGCAAATTCCGCCATATTGGAATGTCTCCTTGAGCCTGGACTATTCCCAAAGAACAGAACTTAAATAACCAGTAGTATACAACTTGACACAACGCAAAGAATGAACAGAGTGGACCTCTGGACATTAAAATCATCCAACAGATGGACCTTCACATGCATCGAAATAACAGCAGGAACGTCTGAGCCAAATAGGCAAGCCTGCGCTCAGATGAACACTGAAAGTAATTAACAAAGAGGAAATGAGATAGGACTTTCCTCCTGGGTGAGACTGATTCACTAATTGGTCTTCTTGAAGTTTTTTATAGCTTGTTTCAGATCACACTCATTCACCAGGATGTTACGTACTGAGGGTCTTAGAGTCTAGATGTGCTGTATCCACACCTTTGCTAAACCCATTCATCTGGTGACCTTATCACAGCGGGAAAGAATAGCATAGCAGGATCCTTCTGATAACTGTCCCGACAGCCATCGCCTGCTTCTCTGAGTGCCCGTTAATCCTCTGTTGAATAATCAGTTTTAAGAATATTCAGACATTAATGAAAACCCGATGCTCAATTGCTAATACCTGTGTTTTCCCATTTTTTAAATTCTGAGGCTTGTTTTATAAAGATATCTCAAGTGATCATGAGCTTTACTACTTAAGTGTTACTTGGTTATATTTTACTACATTCTTACCAAGGAGGATAATTCTGTGATGGGGAAGCTTGGTATTTTCTAGAATAACTCTTCTGACCATAGTCCCCCCCTCGACTATCTGGTACAAAGTGATAACCCCCCACCACACACACACGCACACACGCACGCATGCACGCACGCACGCACGCACGCACGCACGCACTTTCTTACATCCCTTTTTACGCTCCTTTGCGATGCTTATCACTGTCTGAAATGGCACATTTGTTTTCTTATTTGCTGCTTCTCTCAGTGGAAGTGATCTCCATGTGGCTAGAGCTGTTGTTTGCTTCCCACCATGTTCTTAGCATCTGGAGTAATACCTGCTTCATGGCTCCATAAATGTTCATTTGACGCATGAATAGCTGGATGGATGGAAGGCCGGCTGGCTGCTTGGATGGATGGAGGGATGGATAAATTTGATCTTGGGCTTCTGAGTCTGTTAGAGTATCAAGAAAAGGTCTGAGAACTATTCCTGAAGTGCATTTTATCTGTAACTAAGTCCCCCTCCCGATCTCCCCAAGGCGGACCAATTTCAGCTCATCATAGAACAGAATTCTGTAATACAACGATTTTCCTAGAGATAAGGAATTATAGTTTGCAAAAGCCAGCAAGTGGTTTTGAGATTTCCCGTTTCCCACTGAGAATTACTATATGAGAGAGTCCTTCAAAAAAATATTGAATTGGAGTCTGAACCTCTACCCTAGAGACTCATGCAAAGAACTCTTAATTGCCCTTCAAATGAAAAGTCCCCAGTTGAGGGCACCCACCCACCCCACCCCCTGTGGCTTTTCCTATCTGCTTTTCTAGTTTCTGAAAGTGAATACAGTGCTTCAGACAGAATGCAGGACTAGCTGTTCTTGCCCTGGAACAGAAGATCTCACCAGTTCCGATGAACCTCTGGGGGCCTCGTCAGTCCTGATCGTGCTTAGCTCCCTGTTGCTGCTTCACTAGGTTTGGGACAGGTCGAAGGAATCCGCTCTGTGCAAGTTCCCAAAGAGAAGAAACTCTAGAGACCGCTAGTGCGGACTCGCCACTGTCAGCTTACCACAATGGTTCCAGGGGTCCTTTTGCTCATTTCTTCTAGTGCCAATACCCGGAAGGAATTTGAAGGTCTAGTTAGCCTACTTTAGAGAATGGATTTTATTTACTTATTTATTTTTAAACCTGGAGTTCTGCATGATTCATAATATTGGAGATTGTAGAGGTAGCAAGAACGTTTATTCCTGCTTTTCATGGAGAAATTACAGTTTGAACTCAGGAGACCAAGGAAGACTCTGCCATGTAAGGTTTCACAAACAGAGGTTCAGTGTGTTTTAGTTTTCCATGGCCTGGTAACAGATTGCCACCAACTTTTGTCTTACAACAGCCCTGTTTATTATCTTACAGTTCCGTAGATCAGGAGCCTAACACCAAGGACTCAGGATAGAGGCAGGCCTACTACTCTGGCTCTAAGAGAGAGGCTGTTCTCTGGCTTTTCCCGGCTTTTAGAGCACGCCCCATTTCTTGGCTCATGGCCCCCTCTTCTGTCTCCAAAGCCAACAGTCTTCCATCTCTGCCTTTCCTTCTGTCTTCTCATTTTCCTCTCTGACCACAGCCAGGAAGGTTCTCTGCTTTTAAGGATCAGCAGCCATGTGATTAGATGGGTCTACCTGGATAATCGAGGCTAAGCCCCACGGTCAACATCGTAATGCGTTAGCCAGTCCTACAAGGTCCCTAGCCTTGCAGGGTGACACTTGACTGTGCCTAGGATTAGGACTCAGACGTCTTCGGCTTGGAAGCGTGAGATCACGTTTAGTCCCTGCTTTCTGGCCGGTTGGGGTCTGGTGTAGCTGGGCCTCAGGCATGTGTGACTGTGTACTGGAGGCCTGAAGTACTGTCCCTGGGCCTGGCTGTCCAGTCAGGAGCAGCAGATTTGGCTTCTATAGCCGATATCTTTGCTCCTCCTAGCACCATTTGCAGTTGTCATTGCCATTCTGAGCCTTTCTTGAGTTTAAATCTCCCAGAACTGGAGAGAATTTCGGTTCTCGGCTGTGGAACTGCACACCTCCTCAGCTACCAGAGCTCTTTGCTTTATTCCGTGTTCTGGCAAAAATACTTTGACACCATATTGGATCATTACACTGTAAATCTGAGATGAATGTGGTATTGCCTATCAGTTACCCTTCAACGACAGTAAGTGACCTTAAAACCTATACACAGTTAAAATACTCCACAGGGTGGGCTTGCTCTTAAGATTGCTGCTCATTTTGTTGCTACTAGTTTAAACTGAAACGAGAAACCAGCGTCACTGTGGGCAGCAGACTAACTATCGTCACAGAATAATTAGCAGTAGTTGGCAGCCATCAGCACGTCAGATCTCTGACTGTCATCTAGGCTCTCTTCCAGGTGCTTGATCTTACCTGCTCCCTGTGGATGTGGGAGGAGTGGCAGAGTTACTCCAGAGGACCAGGGGAAAGGGAGGCACTGCATCAGGCAGGTGTCTCCTGTGCACCCACAGCCAGGACTCAGACCCCCCTTGGTTTGACCCTAAAGTTCTCCCCCCTTGTGAAGGTTGAGTCGAACAGTTAAAGTGAAACAGGTTGGCATCCCAGTGCCCCCCGGGAGCCGACCGCTCCTCCATCCCGGGGTGGACTGTGAAGCAGGAGCTTCAGAGACTGCAAGCTGCGTTCCTTTAGTCTGACCACGCCTGGTTCTCTGTGGGTCCCACTCCCCGTGGGTTTACGGAGGCTCTTTGTGTTTCAGCCACACGCAGCACCCTGACCTGCATGAGCATGGAGTTCAGGTGTGAGGATGGCGAGGCCTGCATCGTGCTCTCCGAGCGCTGTGACGGCTTCCTGGACTGCTCGGACGAGAGTGACGAGAATGGCTGCAGTGGTGAGTGCTGCCCAGGGCTCAGCTGTGGCCTGACCCTCTGGCCATCAGGCTGTGAGTTTCTCAGCCGTTTGAAAAGAGAAGGTTTCTGCCTAACTTTCAAGCCCCAAGTGAGGTGAGACTTGACCCACCGCTGATAGGAGCCAGGTTAGCTGGAATTCTGCTAGGACATGGTAATCTCACCTCAGGCGTGTCTCCCAAGGGTACATGTGCTCCCCGCTGGGCCTTGGGCGGTAGGTGGGTTAACAAGGTCTTTCTATCTGGGAACACACCTAGGAACGTCGTCCTTTCTGGCCTGTAGAACAGGGCCGAGGGTGCCTTATAAACAGTGGGAATTGATTTCTGACACTTCTGGGGACTGGGAAGTCCAAGGTCAAGGTGCCAGCAGACTGGAGAAGACCCACTTCCTGCATCACAGGGGGTTGCCTGCTCAGAGTGTCTTCACACAGTGAGCAGAGCCAGGGGGCCCTTTGGGGTCTCCTTTATGAGGACACTAATTCTATTTATCGGATCGGGGCTCTTCCATGACCTAATCACCTCTTGCAGGCCTTCGCCTCCTAGTACTGTTCACCTTGGGAGTTAGGTTTTGATTCACAGATAGTCGATCAAGAGAAATAAATCCTGTTGTGACATCAACCCCAACTTGAAACATTTGTGGTGGAGAAACAGATCTCTGTCCCTGCAGAAGGAAAGGAGGTGACGTCTGAGGGAAAATGTGATGGGACTTGAGACCTGAGGAAGGGGCCCGCTACCTGCTGTGCTGTAGGTGATGTGGGTGCCATCCCCTGTGGATCTTCCATCTACCTAAAATCAAGGCACTACATGGGTCCTTTGAAATCCGAGGATTTGTAACACCTCACTCTCTCTCCTCCTCCCTGCATCCCTCTAGATGAATTGACTGTATACAAAATACAGAACCTCCAGTGGACAGCCGACTTCTCTGGGGATGTCACTCTGACCTGGATGCGCCCCAAGAAAATGCCTGCTGCTTCCTGCGTCTACAACGTCTACTACAGGTCGGTCCCGTCACACTCTCGCTGCCCCGGGGCTCCTGTAACTCTGCAGTAGGCAGGGTGCCATGGGCACCTGTCTGCCACCTCCATGGCTCTGACATGACGGTGTCTTTATTCTGTCGGCCAGAGTGGTTGGAGAAAGTGTATGGAAGGCTCTGGAGACCCACAGCAATAAAACCAACATGATCTTAAAAGTCCTGAAGCCGGATACCACGTATCAGGTTAAAGTTCAGGTCCAGTGTCTGAGCAAGGTGCACAGCAGCAATGACTTTGTGACGCTGAGGACTCCGGAAGGTTGTGAGTGTTAGACTTTATTATTATGGTTTGTACTAGATCTGCAATGGGTTTATTGGGGTGCTCAGAGCACGGGACCTAACTGCCTGTGCTGTGTGGATCCTGAGGGTTGCGGTTGAGTTTTATGGCCTCATCTGAACTGCTTAATATTTATTCTCGGGCCCTCCCTGGTGGTGCAGCGGGTCAGGACGCAGCATTGCAAGCTGGCGGCAGCCACTTCAGTGCGAGTTTGATCCCTGGCTCCGGGGGTGACCCACATGGCGAGGCAGACCCCTCCTGTCTTGCCTGCTGCTCCCCTCAGCAGTGTACTTCGTAGATCTGCCTCTTCTGCTCCCCACTCTATCTCTGGAGAAGCCTCTCACCGCCTCTGCACCTCTGGCCTGCATTCCAGTTCTGTAGTTATAAATAAATAAATCTTTTTAAAAATTATACTTACTCTCTTATGGCAGATGATGTTCTTCTGCCTTTTAGGTTAATTTCAGCTCCTGTCCACCGTTGTCCTCTCTCAGTTCTTGCCTAGTTTCTACCTTGCTTTCTTCTGTAGCTGTCTTCAGTCGCTGGTACCTGGCGAGCTCCTTATGTTCCTCATATTTAATTAAACGAGCCCATGTCCCAAGTATGGTGGCCAAGTTTGAAAGAAGTGTAGCCAAATGTGTCCAGGAGATTCCCTGCTACCTCTCTGTTTGGCGACTGTGCTTGTCCCAGTGAGTGAACCCTGCTGAGTTTTGTGGGCTCATCTGTATCTGCCATCAGAACCATGCGTTAGGATTTTGTTCAGTAGAGCCCCTGAGTTTCGACTGTGAACCCAAATGCATGAGGGAAATTTAAGCAGAGATCCTGTTCACAGGTCCTGGCGGAAGTGCACAGCCTGCCTCAGGGTCACGTGGGGATGTCAGTGTGGGGTGAGGGCAGAGAAGACAGGAGCTGGGGTAGACTGTTTCCTCCGAGTCCCAGGGGAATGCTTTGGGATTCAAGACTTAAGCCAAGTCGGTCAGTTCAAACCAAAAAGAAAGAAGGTTTTGGTACACATGCAGTTCTGGAGCCTGGAAGTCCAAGATCAAGGTGGTCGCAGGCTGGCTACTTCTGAGGCTTCTGTCCTTGGCCTTGAAGAAAATGGCCATCTTCCCTTTGTGTGTGTGGGTGTGCATATGTGTTCGCTCCTTCTAAGCACATAGGTCCTACTGATTGGCTCTCGTGCCTAACTCCTTTTAACTTACTTAGCTCTTTTTTTTAAGAATTATTTATTTCTACATACAGAGCTGGGGAATAGTCCAGAGATGCAGGGGCAGTGAGAGGGCTCACCAGAGGCAGAGTGGGGAGCAGAACAGGCAGATTGACAAAGTACACTGCTGAGGGGAGCAGCGGGCGGGTCAGGAGAAGTCAGCCGTGCCATGTGGGTCACCTCCGAGGCAGAGATCGAACTCATGCTGGAGTGGCTTTTGCTTCTTAGTCCCGTGCTTTAACCTGCTACACCACCAGGGAGCGCCTTACTTAGCTCTGTAACGACCTTACCTAAGGTTGTTCTGAGGTTGTGAGCCAGGCCTTTAGCTCCCCGCCCCCCATAGCATTCATCTGGGGGTCACCCACATGGGTGAAGACTGCAGCTGGCCTGCACTTTGCACTTGGTCAGCAAAGTATCACTGGGTTTGTGTGCAACTTCCACGCTGGTCCTGGGCACAGTCTCAAAAAAGGGCAGAACGTCTTGACTATGCCAGCTCTGGCCAGTGCAGAACCTGCTCTTTGTTCAGTTGAACACCGTTTGGCACTGTGGCAGTCGTACACCTTTGCAGTCACACCCATGGTATTTTAGTTGAGGCTCAGTCCTGGGCATTGAGGGTCCAGGGCCAGAGGAGACTCAGCCTGCCCAGGTGACTCCATCCTGCAGCGCTTGTGAGCCTCAAAGTGGTTCAGACTCCTCTAAGCTGTGACCTTGTGGGGGCAGCACAGCTTGTGTTCTGGAGAAAGGAAAGGGTTTCTGTCCAGGCGAAGACCGAGCTAGCAGCCACTCTGGTGGCAAAGTCCCACTGCTGCTCTTGATGCTTTCTTGTTTTAAGTGCGAGGGGTTTCCTCCAGTCAGCCAAAACACGGATGGTTTTAATACCAAGTGGCCTCTTTCCTAGTGCCCGACGCCCCTCAAAATCTCCAGCTGTCACTCCACAGGGAGGTGGAAGGCGTGATCGTTGGCCACTGGACTCCTCCCGTCCACACCCATGGCCTCATTCGAGAGTACATTGTAAGTACCTTCCGGATGGGCCATGTATGCGAGTGTGTGCTTGGAGATTCTTGTCTGTCGGAGCCACCGCGTGTTGTGATTATGGTGTCGCCTCATCAGTGATCAGGTCCATCCTTAGAGATCACGGGTCTCCCTGCCTCCTCCTCCGCTCCACCCACTGAGGTGTTAGGATGCCCTCATCTCTGGTTGTCTTTAACTCATATATTTTTGTCCCCACTTCAGGTAGAATACAGCAGGAGTGGTTCCAAGGTGTGGGCCTCCCAGAGGGCTGCTAGTAACGTCACGGAAATCAGGAACTTAGCGGTCAACACCCCGTACACCGTCAGAGTGAGTGCACCCATTTCAGCAGAACAAGATTGGCGGTGGCTGTTTCCTGGGGGTTCACACCGCTCGCCTTCATGAGATGCTCAGGGCTCGTCTGCTGACTCCTGAGCCTTGGCCTGGGCTGGGGAGAGGGAGCCATGGTTTCTTCTGTTTGTGAAAGCTAGTGCATTGAAGCCAGGCTCTCGCCCTCAGATAACTGAGAATTTATGTGACGCAGCTCAGTCTGCTTTTAGCCAGGATGTTCTGCTGCGTTTCGCTCCTATACTTAGGCCCCTCTACTCTGCTTCTCACCAGTGCAGGGCGACGCAGGGCTATAAGTGGCAGTTATAAGTTGCTAGTGTCGGGTTCTTTCCAAATATATTATCAATTTCTTAAGCAGAAAAAGATTTTGTGCAAAACATGTTGGCTGAGACCATTAAGTGCACACACAGATTCCATTATGCCGATGACATCCTCCGGGCCCTTTAGAAAAACCTTGACATCAGACATCAGTTGCAGCTGTACAACCCAGCTTCTCACTTCCCAGACCTAGCTTCCTTCTCACTGCCTCGCCCCCTCTTAATTCAGTCACCGGGGCCCCTGAATATCCTGCATATTTTCCCCCCACCCTGCTTGCCCAAGTCTCGCCCTGCGAGCTCACTGGAGCTCCTGCTGAATGGTCTGCTGCCTGCATTTCATACTAATTCTGTGTTTTGAACAGGTGGCTGCAGTGACTAGTCGTGGAATAGGAAACTGGAGCGATTCGAAATCCATCACCACCACCCAGGGAAAAGGTAAATGACTCCAGCATTTGCAGATGGAGAGGTGGCCCAGGTGCTTTTGGAAGTGACCGCAAAGGCAGGGAGAGCAGAGTACATGACTGCGCACGGCCGCCTCAGGCACCCTCAACTTGGCACCCTCAGGTGTCTCCACCGTGCCGTGGGTGCGAAGTCTCGTTGGGTGACTTGCGTGAGTTCCTCCTGGAACCGAGCATGTACTATGACGCCGTCGTGTGAAGGGGTCTCCGAAGGCCCCCAGTGGGGGCCTGTGATCCCTGCTAGCACCTTCTTTCTGCTGTGGCAGAGGCGGCTTTGTGTACCTCCCCACGTTTTTGAATGAGCCCGAGGCCCATGCCTGTCGCTTCTCCGAGGGGCACCGACTTGGTGTCCTCTGAGCTGGTACTGTCAGTGCTGACACGTGCCAAGAGCCGGGCCCTCTGGCTGGCTGCCCTCGCCTTGAAACCTCAGTACACTGCTAGGAACTGATAACAGCGTAGAAAGCTAAGTCAGGTACTGGCCACGCAAGCCACGACACAGCTGGTGTCAGAGCCCGCCCTGCCTGACTGCAGGCCTGTGTCCTTGACCACTGTGCTGTTTGCCTTCCCCCACGCCCTGCCCTATGGACTGAGGCGTGTCCTGCTTGTGTCTCGTGAGACAGGTGTGCGTGGGCTGGCTTCCTCACTCTATAACTGGGGGCAAGTAGGAACTTAGAAGTAGTTAATGAATGAGTGAATCGAAGCAGTTGAAATGAAGGTTCTGACGTGCTTTGGGAGACAGGCTGCCACGTGCCTCCTCGAGTGGTTTCCTGCTCTCGGCCTCAGGGCTTTCCTGGACGTGGGGTGTCTGCCAGCAGAGTGGCTGGGGCACGCCTTGGAGATTTGACTTGTCCCTACTGCTCTGGGCTTTTCAGGAAGCCAGGGACTCCAGGGCTCTTCAGTCTGTCATAGCTGGGGCTTTGTTGGAAAGGCAGAGAGGGGAGCATCATTGGAGTGCTGGACACTTGATATGCTTCATTGGAGTAGATTTTGCCGCCTCTGTCCGGCACAGGTCCTGTCCCCAGGCTCGGCCTCAGTCATGGTCACAGGCCTGCTCCAGTCACACAGACAAGTGTCGGGAATTGGAACACAGGTCTGCCTGCGTGTGTCTAACTGATGGCTGAGGGCCTCTTCTGTGGTCAGTCTGCAAAAAGGACTCCAGGTTGTGGGGAGCTTAATAACACCAGTGAAGGTGGCATGTACCATAATGCCTGTGGCTTTCAGGCCAGATTGGAACTGGGCTGTTTGGGGTTGGTGACATAATGGAACTTTCCTCATCCACCTACGTGCTAGGTGGCCAACCTGGCCAGGATACTCATGTGGCTGATCTGGACACTGAGGCCCCAACCTTGGCTTCGGGAAGACACTGGTATAAGAGATAGACAAGTGCAAACAGAAAAGTCCTTTCATCCCCGCTCAAGGGTGGCTTTGTCTAGGGAGCTGAAACCTGCTAAGTCCTGCCTTGCTCACTTTTCATCACATGCCTTTTCTCTTTGAATTCCTTTTTGCTTCCAGTGATTCCGCCGCCAGATATCCACATTGACAGCTACACTGAAAATTCCTTAAGCTTCACCCTGACCACAGAGAGTGACATCAAGGTAACATCAGAATTTCAGACTAGCTGTTGGGTGGGGCTTTGCCTTGTGTGGGAGCTGAGACAGCAGAGTACGGGAGAGGAAGAAAAACAGGTGACTGGCCCAGTGAAAAAGACCACAACTAGGTGGGTTCCTTCCCCACCAAGAACAACTGGAATCTTCATATGTAATTATTCTGCTGGTGCCTTTTTTTTTTTTAACTATATAATTAAATGGTTCACAGCCACAGTGCAAATAAAGAGTTGGTGTTAACAGAATATGTATGCCCTGTAATTTTCAGCTTTATTGGATTTCCTGGCGCTAAGCGCTAATGTAGAGATTCCCACAGTGGGAGAGAGTCTTGTAAGAGAGGAAATACCTTGGAAATAGACCCAGGTAGATCCACCCAGCGGTCCCCTCTTCACGCACCACCGACTCCTCTGTGTGGCCGGCCACAGCCCCTTCCCCATCGTGACCTGCGTCCCTGTGGTTTTTCAAATTGAGACCTCCCCTCCGGAACATTCTCTTCTGTCCTTCTCACAGCCTTCCCATTTGTGAAGCCACGGTGGGTCCTTCTTCACTGAACTGCAGCTGGCTTCAGAAATGGTCAGTGCAAGACATGGCCTTTTGTGGACCTCACGTGCACGGCTTTTGGTCTTGAGAACGCTTACATTTTGATTATTGTCTCAGATATCAAGATCTTTGGATCAAGCCCCCTCCTATGAGCTCAGGACTCGGAAAAACCACTGTCCTGACGCACGGGTGTATTGTGGTCAGTCAGTGAGCTCTGAGGCCCTTTCGTACGGACCCCGGATCTCGACGGCAAGGGCCGCGGGAGACGTCAGTTTTTCCTTAACTAGCATGACTTCGTTACCTTGGCTGTTTTTCCTTTTTCTGCCTTTAATAATTGGATCTCGTCTCCTTCTCCCCCCCCCCCATTGTTACATTAAATGTGTATTTTAGATGGTTTGGTTTTGGGAAGTAGGTGGGGGCTAACTAAATAATAAATGATAGCACAGAGAGCTCTTGTTCAGAGATCCAGGGAGACAGCCCAGCCATTGCAGTAACAACTAAATCTGCAATAGTGGCACAGATAAAACCGGGTTAAAGATCAAGGAAACAGCCATCCATTGTGAGACACGAGATGCCCAAGGAAGCTGGAGAGGCGACTGCATGTGGTCGGCTTGCTGACGGTGCTGTTCGGTGACATGGGTCTTGGTTCTTGCTAGGTGAATGGCTATGTGGTGAACCTTTTCTGGGCCTTTGACACCCACAAGCAAGAGAAGAGAACGATGAACTTCCGAGGAAGCATATTGTCACACAAAGGTAACCCCTTGGAGGCTGTGGGGTGTGAGCAGGAAGGAGGGGCCAGGGTGGAGTGCACACTTCCCTTGCTGGGCAGCCCCCTGTTTGCTGACAGTGGAACCCGGGGGCAGGTGAGGCGATGTTGAGGAAGGGAGGAAGACTTCTCTGGGTGGGCAGGTTCCTATCTGCAGGGGAGACTGTAAAGCGCTCCTGACTTTAGTGGGGGATCTCCTTGGTGGTTCCTCAAGTCTGTTTCTAAACTGTTGGCCGTGATGGAAATGGAAAGAACTGGGAAGAAGCCCGACGAACCCTCTCAGCTGTGTTTCTGAGTTCCAAACGAACACATTCCTCGGTTTAGTGACCTGTCTCTCTCTTCTGACCTGGTTCACTGAGAGGTAGCACAGAGCACAGTGCATTACTGGTGTTCAGTAAATGTTTGTGGAGTGAGTGGGTCAGCTAAGGACATGATCGGGCCTTTATCCTGTGCTAACAGTGAGTCTCCATCAAGATATCTGAAAATGAGCTAAAGGTAGGATTTTCATTTGTGTCGAAGTTAAGACCGTCAGTGCCCAAGCCTGCCTTTGAGTGCTGAGAACGACTTGCGGGCTCCTTCCTTTCCCTTTCTAGCCCGTTTGCAAAGTGCTTCTGCTCAAGTCTGCATTCCTACAAGTGCTGTATGCCCATTGTCTTTTTCTTGAAGCTGGAGGTGGCCCTGAGGAGTTTGTGCAAGAGTAAGATGGCACCAAGCACACGCTGTGCACAGGACCTCACTGGGCATCGTGGCTGCGGCCTTTACACAGCTCCAGGCGTCACTCTGTGGGGTGAGCCTGTCTCACAGAGGAGAGTGGCCGCGCCCTCGCCGTGTGTGATCCCATTGTCTCAGTGACGCTGGGTCGACATGGGCAGCATCTGGAACAAAAGGCTTATGAGCTATGGCCCAAAATATGAAAGGCCAGCTCACTGCTAGGCCTCATGCCAAGCACTTCACAAGAATTTTCTTTTTTAATCCCTCCGAGGACCAGCTGCTCTAAATATACTGTTATTTTTCTTCATCTTACAAGCAGGGAAATGGATTCAGAGAGTCTGAAGGTTTTACCCGAGGCTTTGCCACAGTCCCAGAGCCTGGGCTTGAACCCCAGTTCTTCAGTTCCTAAGTCTCTCCGTCCTCGTGCACTTACCCCTCTGATCATCTCCATAACATCTTCCCTGCAATCTGGAAAGCAAAGTCTAGTGAAAATTTTAAATTTCATTTCACCCTCCAAACCACTTGCACATTCAGATGTCTCCAAAATTAATATATTTTTTCTTCATTGACCACTTTGTCTTTTAAAAGATTTATTTTTTTTAATGCATATAAAAACTGGGGTCTAAGCCAGAGTTGTGGGGGGTGGAGGTGGGAGGATTCACCAGAGACAGAGTGGGGAGCAGAACAGGCAGCTCTACTGAAATATACTGCTGAGGGGAGCAGCGGGCGAGACAGGAGAGGGAGGTCTGCCGTGCCATGTGGGTCAGCTCTCTGGCCCGGAATTGAACTCGTGCTGTGGTGGCTGGCAATTGACTGATAGCACTGAGATTTAACATCTGCAACCACCAGGGAGGCCCGATAAGTCTTTTTATTTTTATTCATTTTTTAAAAATAAAATGGGGCCCCTCCCTGGTGGCGCAGCAGGTTAAAGCACAGCACTGGGAAGCTTAAACCACTTCCGCATGGGTTCGATCCCGCCTGCCCCGGAGGAGACCACATGGCGAGGCAGACTTCTCCTGGCCCGCCCGCTGCTCCCCTCAGCAGTGTACTTCGTCGATCTGCCTGTTCTGCTCCCCACTCTGTCTCTGGTGAATCCTCTCACCCTTTGCATCTCTGGCCTGTACCCCAGTTCCATATGAATAAATAAATAAATCTTTAAAAAAAAATAAAAATGGGAATAATATTATAATATTATATACAGTTTTGGAGTCTGCCCTTTTAGCATGAATCTGTGAGAATTTCCAGGGTCATGGAATAGATTAGTGGCTGGTGGTGTGCCCAGGAATGCCCTGTGGCATGTGGAGTGAACACAGTATATTTTCCTGTTGTTCCCTTGCTGGGCGGTCAGAGTATTTGCATTTTTTTCTGCGGTGACAAGCCCTGCAGTGGCTGTCCTCTGTATACACAACTTTAGGTCCCCTTCTGTTGGCATGGGATGACTCCATGAAGGTTGTGAAGAATTGCGAGGCCCTTGTACAAAGGCACGAGGTTCTCCAGGCATGTTGCACCAGTTTCTTTCCCAGATGGTCCTTTTGAAAGAAGTGACCCAGCGCCCTGCAGTGACTTAACTGTAGGCCCCACCAATGAGTCACTGAAGGAATCTGTAACACAGTGAGAGTCCCAGCACGCAAGCTGCACTTAAGCTGGGAGAGCCCATCAGACGGGGCATGCACACCGGGCACAAACACGCCTGCCCTGCCTGGCATCTTCGCCTTGTCCTGTCTCCGCAGTTGGCAACCTGACCGCACATACGGCCTATGAGATTTCCGCCTGGGCCAAGACTGACTTGGGGGACAGTCCTCTGGCCTTTGAGCATGTCATGACCAAAGGCGTCCGCCCACCAGCTCCCAGCCTCAAAGCCAAGGCCATCAACCAGACTGCGGTGGAATGTACCTGGACTGGCCCCAGGAATGTGGTAAGTCGGCCAAGAGGACCCTTCCAGCCAGTGTGGACGTTCTCGCCCTCATGCCAGTCGCCCCAGGGCTTTCTCTTCATTGCTGCCTCCTCCTCTCTCACCCCAAACGTGAGCTGCTCCCTGGGTCAGCTCTGGATTACTTCTACAGGCACCTGACACCCTAGCCCCAGAACCCCATTCTACACCTTGCTCCTGCAAAGGAGGTGCCTCTGTTGCTTGGGCTCAGTAGATCTGGAGTGGGCAGAGGGTGTGGTGAGAGGTCACAGCAGTGACAGTGAGTGTTGCAGCTAAATGCCTTGCTCCCCTCCAGGCTCTCCCTCTATTGTGACTCCCTGACCTGCAGATTGCTTGCTGGGGCCAGTCCCCCCAGAGGTGCCCCTTTGAATTGCTGTGATTAGACTCGCGGTTCTTTTCGGTCTGGCGTTTTTCTTTCCCACTGTGGCCTTTGCTTTGAGGTTGACTTCTGGGGTGCTTGCCACCCCTTCCCGCCTCTGCTCCTCAGCTTGTGCTCTTTCTTCGCCTGATGTCCTTCCCTCCTTCTGCTGTGCAGTCAGGTCCAGTTCTCCTGCTACTTGATCTCTTTCCCTTCTGAACTCCCGACGTGTTCCCAGCTGCCTCCTCCTATCTGACGTCTTGTCTGCCTCTTTGGCTTGTAAGTCCCAAACAAAGGAAGGGAGGGAGTGTTTTCCAGGTGGAGAGGCATCTAGATCTTTTAGTGACTCCTCAGTGGTGTTTTGTCTTCTGAGGGTGTCCCCAGGGTGCACTGGGTATGGGACTGACTCCTGGGCAGAAAGTGGGGTTCACAAGCAATAGTAAGATCAGTGAGGAAAGGAGATGTCGGGTTTACTGCACTGTGGGCGGCACCATACAAAACTCTACACACATTCTCCCACTTAATTGTTTCATCAGTTCCACGGGGCGAATGTTTCCCTGTTACAGGGATCAAGGGCTGGGGAGAAGTTGCTGGCTGGAGTCGAAGCTTAGTAAGTAATAGAGTGAATCTGAGGTCAAGTCTGGCTGGTTGAACACTTTAGACTTGAAGCTTTTCTTCTGCTCCAGGAGGGAGGGTCAGGAACGAGCAGATCCCCAGCTGACCCTGGGCTCTTTGTCCCTCCAAGGGGCCTTTTCGAGTTAAGTACCAGCAAGAACCAGGGCTCCATGAAGGAGGACAGGGAGGAGCGGGTGTCTGCTGAGCTGCCGGTGTGCACCGCCTTCCCACTGCCCTCTCAGCTCCCCACCCCTGCACATGATCTTGGGAGAGCACCCCCTCTTCTGTGTTGATCCCCCTGTTTTTCCTTTGGCTCATGGTGCTGGTATAGCTGCAAACATCCTCTGTGTGCAGGTTGTTATTTATAAATATGTTTTGTGTCTTCTCTGCCCATCTCGCCTCAAAAATTGAACTCCGAGGACAGGGAGCATATGATGTTTATCTCTGTGGGAGCGAGCTGGGTGCCTGGGCCAACGTGTGTCAATGCTGATGAAACGGATGTCGCGTGACAACTTCTCACGAGCTCATTTGAAGCGGTTCCCAGGAGTTTAAGGGATTCAAGAGAACAGGTCCCTGGCCACTGAGTTATGAGTTAATGTCCTTCCCTGTTTTCTCTTTTGCCAGGTTTATGGCATTTTCTACGCCACATCCTTTCTTGACCTCTATCGAAACCCAAAGAGCTTGACTACGCCCCTCCACAACAAAACGGTCTTTGTCAGTGAGGACGAGCAGTATTTGTTTCTGGTAAGCTTCCTGCACCAGAGAGTCCAGAGGTGTTTTCTGCTTTGCAAGGAACGTCTTTTATTCCTGGGTGCCTCACTCAAACCCAGGGTGTGGAGATGCAGAGTCCAGGAGGCCTGTGCGTGATGCAAAGACAGCTCCTCTTCACAAGCATCAGGTTCTTGCCTGAACGGCCGCTCGGCATGCACAGCTCCACTGTGCAGGTGGAGACCTGGCTGGTGGATCACAGGAATAGATACAGGCTTGCATCAGATCCACTTCTTGGGCCCGAGCCTGCATACCTCCACTATGTGCCAAGGCATATGGAAAAAAATGTTTGGTTTGCTGTTGCTTGTGATTGTGAAAGGTTAGAAACAAATGCCTGTTAGGAGAAGGCTGGCTAAAAATATTATGGTTTATCCTTCATTGCAATGGAGTGTGGGGCAACCCTCCAAAAGAAATACAGCAGCCCTAAATGTGCTGAGAGAGAAACATCTGTAAGCTGTATCACGAAGGGCAAGAAGTAAAAAGCATCTAAAGGCAATGTTTTCTCATTCGTGTAACAAAATTTAAGAAAAACAGGCCACACATACACATCAGTATGTATCTGAAATGTCTGCTTATCTATGTGTGAGACATGTCTGGAAGGAAGCCGGAAAAAATAATAGCAGTGGTAGCGCTGAATTGGGGATGTGGGTGGGCAGGGAAATATTTTACATTTTCTGTCTTTTGAAAGTGATGCAATTTTAATTGTGTGCATACATCACTCTCTCGTGGGAAAGAGGCTTCCTGAAGATTCCTCAGCTGCCATGTTGGTTTCAGGTCCGGGTGGTGGTGCCCTACCAAGGGCCGTCCTCAGACTACGTCGTGGTGAGGATGATCCCAGACAGCCGGCTTCCGCCCCGCCACCTGCACGTGGTCCACACTGGCAAAACCTCGGTTGTCATCAAGTGGGAATCCCCGTATGATTCTCCTGACCAGGACTTGGTGAGCGCCTGGTGTCCCAGGAGCCTTGCTCCTTCATGGTGTGGCTGGGAGGGGGGGGTGGTTCTTTCGTGGGACAAGAAACCTAGGCGTGGTGGTTGCAGCTAACAGGGCTCCCCCTTTCTGACTGACCAACGACAGGGGCCTATGGGTGCCTTTCTCTGTGGTCACTTGTCTGTTCTTCTTTCCGGCCGCCATCTTGCTTTGTGCTCCCTCTCTGACTTCTCACATGCCCTCCCTGACCCGCCAAAGTAGGTTGGCACACAATGGCCTGTAGGCTAAGTGCAGCCTATGCCCAGTTTTGTAAATGAGGTTGTGTTGGAACAAAGCTATACCCAGTATTTCCATGTTATCTGTGAGGACTTCACGCTGCAAACAGAGCTGAGTGCCTAGAGGAGAGACCATCTAGTCCTCTGAGCCTAAAGTAGCTATTTGTCTGGGCCTTTACAAGTTTGTTCCTGTTCTAAAGGAAAGGCCTGGATTCTCCGAAAACTTCCTTTTCCCCATGTCTGGGCTGCTTTTCCCTCCATCCTCTCTGCCCCTCCAGGCCCATATACATTCATGGCTACTAAGACCCTGACTGGCAACTTGCTCCTGACAGATGTGTCCTGTTCTTACTACGTGTCCCTTTAGTTTCCTCTTACCGCCATCTACATGAACGGCAACCTAAGAAAAGTGAACCTTTTTTTTTAATCCTTTAGTTAAGATTAAACACATTCATTTATTATCCCCTCTGACAGCATCCTGAAACTTTTACAGTGATGGAGATACAGAAGTTTAACCCCGGATTTGAATTTTTCTTACCTGTCCAAATCTATCTGTTGATGTCAAATTAAACGTATTTTGGGTCCAGTTATAATTCAATGCACAGTTTTGGGAGTGACTCTTGATCTGAGGTTGGACATCAAAGGCTTTCTGAAGAATAACATCAGCGTAGAGATTCAAAATGCCTCTGCCATGGGTCACAGCCACCAAAACGCTTACGTCACAGCAGCCATCCTTGATAAGACCCAGAGAAAATGCCAGGTTTCTGGTTCTTATTAAGATGTTTAGTTTCTTTTTTCCCCCTTGGCCTAGTTATACGCAATTGCGGTTAAAGATCTAATAAGAAAGAGCGACCGGAACTACAAAGTGATATCCCACAACAGCACTGTGGAGTACACCCTGAACAAGTTGGAGCCAGGAGGGAAATACCATGTCATTGTCCAGCTGGGGAACATGAGCAAAGACAGCAGCATAAAAATCACTACAGGTGAGCAGGAGCACTGAGGGCCTTCCCAGGCCGGGCCCCACATGCTGCCAGGCCTCCTTGACACGTGGAATTCCCATTGAATTGGTGGCCAGCACCACCCTCCAGTGCCCACGCAGGCCTGGATGGTGTGTGTGTGGGGGTGGGGGGGGG